CACGGGTATCGGGGGAGTGCTCTCACAGGTGGTCGGGGGGGTCGAACGGGTGGTCGCCTACGGTAGCAGGGTTCTGTCCCCCGCGGAACAACGCTACTGCGTGACACGGCGTGAATTGCTGGCGATTGTGTTTTTTATACAGCAATTCAGGCCGTATCTGTATGGCCGTCACTTTACGGTTCGCACGGACCATGCGGCTCTCCAATACGCTATGCGGGTGGCGCAGCCATCGGGCCAATTGTCCCGATGGTTGGAGGTCCTTCAGGACTACCAATTCACGACGATTTACCGCAAGGGGTTGCGCCACTCGAACGCGGATGCATTGTCACGGTTGCCGACGCGTACGGAATGCGCATGTCAGTTGGGATCGGCGCGGTGTAAACCTTCTGTCGATGTCCCCGCGGAAGTAGTGCTAGCCGCCACGGATACTACGGGGGTCGACGCCCCCACGGGGAGGGACTCGCTGTTAGCATTGCCTCTCATCGAGTGGGGCCGTCTGCAAATGGCCGACAGCTCCCTACTCGCGCTACGTCGGAAGGTTAACGTTCCCGAGGGCGGGGAAACGCGGGTCGGTTCCTGGGTGTGCAGACAGGGCCTCTTGATGAAGTGGGACTCCATGTCCCGGCGTCACATGCTTGTGGTGCCGGTTGCTGTACGGGGTAAGGTCGTCCTGGCTGCCCATGAACGACTCATGCATCTGGGGTTTCATAAAACGCTCGCCCTCATTCAGCGAGACTACTATTGGCCTGGGATGGGCAGTGACGTGGCGAACATTCTTAAGGGGTGTGTAGGGTGCGCTAAAAGAAAACCGCCACAAATAGCGGCTAATCCACCGCTTCAATCCATTCAAGTTTCGCGCACGAACGAATTGGTCGCGCTAGACATCTTGGGGCCCTTTCCCACTACACCTCGGGGAAATAAGTTCCTGCTGGTTGGCGTAGAGTACTTCACCCGCTGGCCCATGGCGTGGCCACTCGCCAACCAGTCGGCTGCGGCGGTGGCGGACGCCTTTGTCCAAGGTTACGTTTTGGACAAAGGCGCCCCCGAACGCTTGCTGACGGATCAAGGGAAAAACTTTTCGAGTGTTTTGTTGCGCGAGGTGTGCGACCTGTTGGGTACAAAGAAAGTACGTACCTCCCCGTACCACCCGCAGACTGACGGTATGGTTGAACGTCTGAACAGGACGATTACGTCTATGCTGTGCCAACAGGTATGCGACGACCAGGTGGATTGGGACTTACAGGTACCGGGGGTACTAGCGGCCTATCGGATGGCACCCCATGCGGCGACGGGGTTTTCTCCATCTTTTCTGATGTATGGGCGGGAGGCTGATCCGGCCATGGACGTCCAACTGGGGATTTCACAGCCACGTGCGAAATCAAAATTGGCAGACCACATTAAGTTTAACATCGCCAAATTGGCTGAGGCGCGGGAGGCTGCGAGGTTGAATTCACGCTCTCGGCAGATCGCGAACGAGCGATTGCGTGAACGGAAGGTGCATACGCACAATTGGGAACCGGGCGATAAGGCCTGGCTGCATTGTCCACACGCACCGTTGGCTACGTCCCCCAAACTGTTGAGACCATGGAGGGGACCGGTGGAAATTGTGCGGGTTGCACGACCCCAGAGTATACAGATTAAATGGGGAAAACGCCGTTGGTACGTGCACTCCTCCCGACTGAAACCCTACGCGGCACCACGTGACCCCGGGTTGTGCCGTGACGACCGAGCGTGTGATGTGACCGTCGACTCGGGGAGGGATGTGTCGCAGGCTGATCCTCACGTGTCTCCACCTGACCCACCCCCAGGTGTCTCGGACCTGACGGCTGTTGACCGTCGGGAACCGGAACCCCGCGGCTCGCACGGAGCCCCGATGCCTGGCCCATGCCTTCCTGAACTGCCGGCGCCGCCGGATGGCCAACTGCGTCCTGTGCCGTACGACGGTCCGGCAAGGCGGACTCGGTCAAGGACGCAACACTTTTCATGAAAAAAAAAAAAAAAAAAATTCTTTTTTTGTTAAAGCCCGACTTCGTTGCCGGCTTCCCCCTCTGCCGGGGTAATGTCCCGTTCAAGGGACGCTCGGACATCGGGACGCTGCATGAGTCGGAGAGAAAAGAAGAGAAAATGATTAAAGAAAATTTTTTTTTATTGTTACTCTTTCCGCATACACAGTATCGTTGCCATTCGCCGGATTGTGCATGTTGTTCTTGTTGCGGGTGTGGCGGTTGCTGGGTTTTGCGGATTGCGGTGTTCATGTTGTGTTGTTAGGGTTTGTGTTATGTTACGGGGCACACGTGGGGGTGAAGGGGTGTTGTATGTTTTATTAGCAGCCGGGTCGGCTGCGAGCTATGTGGTAGGGGGTGATGTAGTGGTGGTATTGACGTGCGCCGGGAGTGATGGATCACGGGGCGCGGGGTTGGGCACGCGGTGTGGGCGTGGCAGGGACGCGCGCGCCGGTGGTGAGGCGCGCTCACACAAGCTGGGAAAAGAGGATCGTAGCGAGTGCGCAGTGATTGGTCAGATAAGTGAGTACTCTCAGCGACGTCCGCAGGAGGGGTATAAAGGGGGACGCGCGAGAGCACTCGTGGTCAGTGTTAACCAGTTGAAGACCGAAGACGGGGTGGAGGAGGTAGGGGCCCTGTGTGGCTCGGAGCCGAGACTGGGGGGACCGTAGTCCGACGCCCGTGTGGGTCGGGACGGGGGTACCCAGAGCCGAGACGGGCACCCCGGCTGGGTGTGTCCCGGAAGGCTACAGGGCGTAAGAGCCCGTGTCAGTACAGCTGAGTGGGTGTTGGTCACCCGTGTAGCTGAGTGGGTGTTAGTCACCCGTGTAGCTGAGTGGGTGTTGGTCACCCGTGTAGCTGAGTGGGTGTTAGTCACCCGTGTAGCTGAGTGGGTGTTGGTCACCCGTGTAGCTGAGTGGGTGTTGGTCACCCGTGTAGCTAAGTGGGTGTTGGTCACCCGTGTAACGAAGTTGTAGTTGAGTGGGTGTCCTGTCACCCGTGTAGCTAAGTGGGTGTTGGTCACCCGTGTAACGAAGTAGGGTGTTAGTCATCCGTGTAACTACAAGTTGGTGAAAATAAAGAGTGTGCTACCCGTGAAGTCGTCTCCTGCCGAGTACTACTTTACACATACAAAGAGATGTGGGAATACAGAGGGACAGACCCACACATGGAAAGGCACACACATGGAAAGGCACATAGATGGAGACACATGGTAGCAGATAAAAACAAATGGGGAGGCGTTGGGTCAGAGACACATGGGGACACATGGGGTCACAAACAGGAGTACATGTTTAACACGTAGGCTTTCGAGACTAATATTATTCATAATAATGTTTTTTGGGTTAGATAGCGTTATTTATAAAAGTGTCGTAACCCTCCACCACCCGACACGGCCAAACAGTAAAAAAATGTGTCACGTTTACAAAGGACAAAATAATTCACTTCTTTAGCCCACCGGTGTGTTGAAGAGTGAATCAACATCGTTTAAAATTTGAGTAGTACGACGTTTCGCTGGTAATTACATCCAGCTTCATCGGGCGATTTGTCCGAATGGTGAGGCTCTGCTCTTGCTCCCGGTCTTACTGGTAGTAACCCTCCTGGTTACACCAGCCCACAGGGGATTCTTTCGTCCGTTCGTCGTGCAGAGAGGAGCTGGGTGGGGAGGGAGGGGCTGGGTGCGGAGGGTGGGGAGGGGCTGGGTGGGGAGGGTGGGGAGGGGCTGAGTGGGGAGGGGCTGAGTGGGGAGGGTGGGGCTTGGTGGGAGGGGAGGGTGGGGACGGGCTGAGTGGGGAGGGTGGGGAGGGGATGGGTGGGGAGGGTGGGGAGGGGCTGGGTGGGGAGGGTGGGGAGGGGCTGAGTGGGGAGGGTGGGGCTTGGTGGGAGGGGAGGGTGGGGAGGGGCTGAGTGGGGAGGGTGGGGAGGGGCTGAGTGGGGAGGGTGGGGAGGGGCTGGGTGGGGAGGGTGGGGAGGGGCTGAGTGGGGAGGGTGGGGCTTGGTGGGAGGGGAGGGTGGGGAGGGGCTGAGTGGGGAGAGTGGGGAGGGTGGGGAGGGGCTGGGTGGGGAGGGTGGGGAGGGGCTGGGTGGGGGAGGGTGGGGAGGGGCTGGGTGGGGAGGGTGGGGAGGGGCTGAGTGGGGAGGGTGGGGCTTGGTGGGAGGGGAGGGTGGGGAGGGGCTGAGTGGGGAGGGTGGGGAGGGGCTGAGTGGGGAGGGTGGGGAGGGGCTGAGTGGGGAGGGTGGGGAGGGGCTGGGTGGGGAGGGTGGGGAGGGGCTGAGTGGGGAGGGTCGGGAGGGGCTGAGTGGGGAGGGTGGGGCTTGGTGGGAGGGGAGGGTGGGGAGGGGCTGAGTGGGGAGGGTGGGGAGGGGCTGAGTGGGGAGGGTGGGGAGGGGCTGGGTGGGGAGGGTGGGGAGGGGCTGAGTGGGGAGGCGCTGGGTTGGGAGGGGCTGGGTGGAGAGGGTGGGGGGTGGGAGGGGTGGGGCTGGGTGGGGAGGGGCTGCTCACCCCGTAGTGCCCTTAACACGTTCCTTCGGAGTGGGCAGGTAGGAACTTGGTTGGACAGCGCGGCGTTCGGGGGTGGGGCAGTTGGATGAGTGGGCGTGTTTACCCTTCCCCCCCCCACCCTCCCCGACATCGTCAACCAATCGCGGCGTAGCTCGGCGTTCGGTGGGGAGGTGCATGGGTGGGGCGGAATTCCGGATATGCACGACAGACAAATAATCCCTGGTGGGCAGTGTGGAACCTGTTGTTCCTACCCGTATCAACGTTTAACCTACTCACGGCGGCTTGTGCCCGCCCTCACAATCGGGCATATTTGCGGAATACACCACGCCGCCGTTGACCCTGGCCATTGACCGAGCAACCCAACGTTCCTACCAGCTCCCTCCGCAGGAATGTGTTAAATAGAGCAGCAGCAGCAGCAGCAGCAGCAGGGTGACGTCATGGCGAAACTAAATCAACCTGAAACTCGACGGTAAGGACACCGGTACAAATTCAAAACGTCAGCATCACATGTTCTTTATTAAAGTCACGTTCAGTCACGTTATTGCTTACAAGACACATGCAAAGGGTAAACGCGAGCTAGCGGAGAGCCCCCCATTCGGTTAGGCCAAGCAGGAGCCAAGGGGGCCACGGCCACGCGTTTGAGGTTGCGCGGGTGACCTCGCGAATAGTTCCCGGCGGTTGCTGGGTAGACGACAGAGAGGGTCGGTAGAGGTCACCAACCACCCCCCCCCCCCCCCCCCCCCCCCCCCCCACTAAACCCGTAGTGTCTCTCAGCCACATCTACATCTGCTGTGTATCTTAGCCACATGTAAACCCGTAGTGTCTCTCAGCCACATCTACATCTGCTGTGTATCCTAGCCTCGTGTAAACCCGTAGTGTCTCTCAGCCACATCTACATCTGCTGTGTATCCTAGCCTCGTGTAAACCCGTAGTGTCTCTGTGTCACATCTACATCTGCTGTGAATCCTAGCCTCGTGTAAACTCGTAGTGTCTCTGTGCCACATCTACATCTGCTGTGTATCCTAGCCTCGTGTAAACTCGTAGTGTCTCTGTGCCACATCTGAACATGTTGGGTGTATCTGGACCCCGATGACGCCTGCCAGTGGCTGCGCCCCTGCTAAACGCTCGGAGCGTCGGTATGCCCCCCTCGCCTGACCACCCCACGGAGGGCTCTCCCTCACCACCACCGGCACTGCCATTCAAGTGGACGGGTGGCCACTCCGCGTCCCGTATCCGCAAACAATTCCCCACCAAGCCGCGCTCGACCGAACTCGGAAGCAGAAAAAGCAAAAGCGTCCTCCGTCGTCTACACGGGGGAGCGTTTGTTTGTAAATAAATATTCGTAGTCGACAAAAGGCTGCTCTGACCGGACCCCCCCCCCCCCCCCCCCCGCGGCCCTCGCCGGTTCCGACACGGCCATCACGAGGCTCGCGCCACGGCCGTCGAGGGCCGATCGGTGCGGGGTTTTTGCACTGGTCAACAATAAAAAATTAACCCGTAAAAACAAAGTTTTTCACTATAAATCCTTTATATGCGTGGCGGCTAGAGTCCTCTCGTCCTCTGGCTTGAGATGGCTGCCACCTATGGGTCAGATGATTGTCTGCCACCATTAAGCAATTGGTAATTAAATATTTAAATGTTTTTCCCTAAACAGTGTAAAATTTAGGAAATTTTTTTTCACGAAAATTAATTGTCACGCACAACGAGTCTGTGTGCAAAATGTCAGCTCGATTGGATCACGGGAAGTGGGTTAGAAAACGACCGAAAAATTTGCACGGTCGTAAGCACGCAAGCACGCAAGCAAGCAAGCAAGTAAACTTAATATAAAGGATTTTTAAAAACTTCTTTTTTCTGGCCTGGACTTGCCGATTCCAAACCTGATCTCAGACTTGCTCTATCACATCTCATTTTTATTCTATCGGCATACCCCATTTTCATTGATTTTACCCGAAATTAACTCTGTCGCTTACGATTGCAAGTTGTTGCGAGCCAGTGACGGCTTTAGTGTTAAAATATGGTGCTGTATTTTTTAGGATAGTGTGTTTATAATATAATTTTATGTAGATATCCACATTTATTTAATATTTTTCTTCCACAGTTTTTATTGAAAATGCAATATTTGATATCTCAAAAACCTGATGTGAGAGACAAAAACTGATGCCAGATTTGGAATCAGCACCTTAAACCCGTTGGAATACCTTATGCCAGAAAAAGTGTGTTGACCAGTGTAATGGGATGGATGGGGACACAAGCTGCCCAGCAGGGGATGTCCCCGTTTCCTCGTATTGCGGGTTCTTATCGCTCTCTCGCTCATGGCGATGCCTCTCGTTCGACTTCAGTTTGGAGGCGTTGGTGCCTATCTCGTTTTTTTTCATACAGCCATGAGCCTGCGGTTGGAAGTTCCACATTCCTATGGTGGGGGCGAGTGTATCCAGAGGACAACAAAGCTGTTGCCCTGGCTGCCCCCCCTCATCAGTGCCCCTGCCGACCGCTCCCCACGGCCCCTGCCCCTGCTACCCACAACCGCTGCCCCCGCTCCCCACAGCTCCTGCCCCCTATTTCACAGCCCCTGCCCCCCCGCTCCCCACAACCCCTGGGAGCATGTGCATGCGATACATCGTCGGTGCTTTGAAGTTGGTGCAACAAGCATCTCTATTCTCTGCTTGAACCCCTCTAATGCGGGAGATCAACTCAACGCTGCCAACGTTCACCACAAGCTCGCACCAGTCGCCCGAGGTCCGTGGCTCAAGCCCAGCGGCCGCCCTGGTCAATACCGCTGGTGTGACTAACCGTTAAATACTACGCAGAGTATCCTTCGCGATGGACACTTAAGAGATCATATTTTCCGAATTTGAAGACGATTCACCCAGGAGTGTGAACGCCACATCGCAAACATCACACCACCACCCACTGTACTGGCCGTCGATATCCATCCGTGACTTTACACGACTTTAACTTGTTAGGCGCCAACACGTCACGTAACCCAAACGTCTCACCTTCGCGATAGCCTCGCGCTGCCATGATGACAGAAATACCAAGTGAGCAACTTATTTAAAATATTTAATATCGGAAGCTAAGCGGGGGTTTGAGCCTGGATAGTGATTGGATGGGCGACCCCCGCGCGCCAAAACAGGTTGCTATCGGCTGTTGCGGGTGGGCAGTGGAAGAACAACGCCGGCAAAGTCAATCGCTGCGCCGTACTTCTGTGCTCCCTCACCCGTGGGCAGAGGTCGCAACCGGGCACCCGATACCCGTACCCTACCCGATACCCGGCTACCCGGCCGGGTACGGGTACAGGTACCCGTTTGCGACCCTGGTGCGGCTGGGTACGGGTACGGGTAGACCGTGAGTCACTGGTGAGTAACTGTTTGTCACTCATTTCCCAACGTCTTGTCTCTTCTCACAATTCAAGTTCCTAGAATCAACCCACTCGCGCCTGCAACATGGCTTCATCCCAGAGGTCGCAATCAGGTATCCGATACCCGTACCCTACCCGTACCCGGCCGGGTACGGGTAGGGTACGGGTACGGCCGGGTACGGGTACCCATTTGCGACCCTGGTGCGGCCGGGTACGGGTACGGGTAAGGAATCAAAACCCGTTTGCGACCTCTGTTCGTGGGTGCTCCCCGACCCCCCACCGGGCAACCCGCACGAGCCGTGCGGCAGGCAGTGGGGGGAGGGGGGGGGGGGGACAACCCCACCATCCAGCAGCGAATTGACTAAGTGGCTGTGACGGTAAACTTCCGAGGCAGAGCAGAAGGCGAGATAATGGTAGTCGCCTCTACGCCCGTTGGAGAATGTTGGCAAAGCGTCGACTCCGATCCGTAAACAAAATAAATATTTGCGGAGGCCGCGAGTCAAAAGGCGAAACTATAGCCTCTGTTGTTCCCTTCCAGTTAGTGCGTGTCACGTGTGCAGGTACGTGCTTGTGTGCGTACCTTCTACGTGTGAGATGAGCACGTGGTTTTGTGCGTACGCGCGTGTGCGTGCGTGTGTTTTAAGCGGAGGTGCTCGCTAACGGCACTTTCCCCAAAGTCTGTTCAGGCTATAAGGGGAATATTTGTCTGTGTTAGGCTGGGGAACGGTGGCATAGTGGTAAGCGTGCTACGCGATGAACCCAGCGACCCAAAGCTCGATTCACGCTTACGGCCAACACCGGTGACAATAATTATCTGAACCGTTCCTGGGCCTCCCCAAGGTCGACTCAACTTCAAATGGGTACCTGGTGCGGTGTGTAAACATCGCCACTAGGGAGACGTGGTGCTGGCTACCCACCCCCTGGTATGCAATGCCGGCCTCCATAGGTACTCGCTAACAGCACTAGCCCCAAATGTCTGTTAAGGCTACACGGGGGGTCTTTGTCTTTGTGTTAAGCTGTAGGGGAGTGGTTCACACTGCGCTACATTTTCCCAGCAACCCGGGTTTGATTCCGGGCCGTGGCAAACATTACCAGCAAGCTATTTTGGGCCTCCCCTAGGTGGACCGAGCCTTAAATGCATTGGGGAGACAAAAGCGGTCGGGAACGCGTAATTGGGGGCCAACGGACGCTGGCGCCCTCGCGTGCCATTCCGGCTTTGAAAGGTGCTCGCTAACAACGCCGTCGCTCCGCTATGAAAGATCAATCGTAGGGTCTCTGTGTGCACGAGAGAGGTTTGCCCGGAGATTTGTGCAAGTGAATGACCGCCCAAAACAACAATGATCCTGCGCTGTTTTCCCCAGGAAAAGCCTCACCGAGTCTCAAGACTCGTTTTCCAAGGGGGTCCCCCCCCCCCCCTTTGCTTGGGATTTTTGGCCGATCCCTAACCGAAAGCGTGCCCTTGACGAGCGTTCAGCATGACTAGTGGTCAGTCTGCACCTAACTAGTGGTCACTGTGCACCTTGACGAGTTGACTAGTGTTCAATATGGCTTTCGTGTGCCATGTGATTCACGTTCAATTTGCACCTGCATGGTGCTCAGCATGCTATTGAATAGAGTTCCGTATACGCCAGTTTGATTGTTCAGCTTGCCACTGAATAGTGTCCGATATCACCTGCATAGCGTTGATGATAGGTAGTGTTCATTGGGAAGTGTTCAGGATGGTGACGAATGTTCCATGTGCTGCAGTGTTCAGTTCGCATTAGTTCAGTATGCTTATGCAACCAAAGTGTTCAGTAAGCTCATGAACACTGTTCAATATGCCATATGAACACTGTTCAGTATGCTGTTGAACAGTGTTACGTATGCACAGTATGACCAGTGTGCAGCATGCATCTGCATGGTGTTCAGCATTACTCGTGTTCAATGTGTAGCTGAATAAGCATTCATTTTGACTCGTGTTCAGTAAGAACTTGAATAGTTTTCAAAATACACTTGGGTTAGTGTTCAGTATTACATTGCCTCGTGTTCAATGTGCTATTGAGTCGTGTCCAGTATGCCTCTGACAAGTGTGTGCATCTTGTGTTAGATTGAGTGTTCAGGGTGATTAGTGTTCAGGGTGATTAGTGTTCAGGGTGATTAGTGTTCAGGGTGATTAGTGTTCAGTGTCATTAGTGTTCAGTGTTCCCTGGACTTGTGCAACGGGGCCGGTGGAGAAACCCTCATCGCTTGGGTTCCGTTCCGTCTCCGAGCCTGGCCGCCGAGCCATCGCTCTGCAGACAGCCCTGAGCCAGGCCAGTCGGTGGCTCTCCTAGAACAACCCCGCACACACAAAGACACACACACACACGAAGACACACATGAAGACATACAACAAAGACAAACATCCCCCGTATGGCCTAAACAAACCGTTGGGGCAAGTGTTTGCAAGCACCTATGAAGGCCGGCACGGCACACGACGGGGTTGTGTGACCAGCACCAAGCCCGGCCGCCTTTGTCTCCCGAGTGGTGATGTTTACACACGGCACCAGCTACTCATTTGAGTCAACCTAGGGGTAGTCCAGGACCAGTTCAGATAAATCGTCACTGGTGTTGGCTGCGAGCGGGATTCGAAATGGGGTCGCCAGGTTCGTAGCAGAGTGCGCTCACTGCTACACTACCGATCCCCACGCGTGTACACAGACACAAATGCATGCGTACCATGTGGGCATGTCAAAAAGCAAATACTGAGGCCGACTACTGCTGCTGTAATAAGAGTAAATGGTGCTACCGCTGTTAGCGCTGCTGTGAACGAGTGCGTTACTGCTGGTTTTGTATTGGCTCTTGCTTGTTAGTACTGCTGTTGCAGTAGGTGCATCCGTTGGGTTAGGTGTGGCTGCTTATGTCTGACTGCTGCTGTTGCTGTCACTGCAAATGCAGCCTTCAGTAGGCACTCAAAGTGAGCATTGAGACATTATGGCCCATCTCCCGTGTACAGCCCTGCAGAGACGGTCGTGGAGATTTCACGTTCCTGTGGCGGGGGGAAAAGCCGATCCATGGGACAACCATCGCTAGCTTCTCCAAAAGAGCAGTACCAATTCTGTCGACCCCGGTGGGACGACGAGCCGAGATCAACCCCAAAACCAGAGTTTGAACTCGCAAAACCTTCCCCGTTGCGAGTCGCTCGCACGGCCGCCGAGTCAACGGGCCCCTCTCAATACGCACGAGACGGAGAGTGTGAACCAGCACGCCGCACCCCTCGACCACCAATCGGTACCGTTCAGTCAGTCAGTGTGCACCACCTGCACGACGTTCAGTGCGGGACCGAAAAAAAGTGGCTGCAACCGCAGGCGCATCTGTCAACGTGCGCTTTGGGCGTTGAGCATTCACGTCGCTGTTCGCTCTGGTGCCGGTTGTGTACGTGCGCGTGCACTCGCCCGCCTGCGCCGGCTGTTGTGGTGCACGCGTCCCACGCGCACCGACGCCGTGGTGCGAGAGCGTACCGGGCCCCAGCAGCGTGAGGGCGTGCGCCAGCTGCTCCGAGAGGCCCGCCGTTCCCACCGAGGACGACGCCGCCATGATGTCGGGCAACGCGTTCCGCCGGCCTGAGCGACCGGCGTCCACGAATCGGCACAGCGAGCGCTCGTACGCGCTCATCGGCACCGCGGGGGGCAGAGGGGGGCACTGGGGGGCAGAGGGGGGCGCTGGGCAGAGGAGGCAGATGGTGAAGTGGAAGAGGAGGAGGATTAGTGGTAGTGACGGTGGTGGTGTGCGGGAGGACGACGAGACATCGAGGGAGATCGCAGGACTCGCGGTACGCCCCGGCGTCTCTGTGGAGACACGGTGGGGATGTGGGTGGTGATGAGAATTGAGGACACAGCGAGAGATGTGGACACATAGATACACACGAAAAAAATGGACAAAGATCCCCCGTATAGCCTCAACAGACGGTTGAGGCAAGTGATGTTACTGACTAGCACCTATGAAGGTCGGCACAGTACACAAGGGGGTAGGTGGCCAGCACCACTCCCGGCCGCCTTCGTCTCCCCACACACCGTACCAGGTACTCATGAGGCCGAGTCAACCTAGGGGAGGCCCAGGATCGGTTCACATATAATCGTCACTGGTGTTGGCCATGAGCGAGAATCGAACTCGGGTCACAGGGTTCGTATTGCCAGCGAGCAAACCATTACACTACCGCTCCCCCATACATACACACAAGGGACAAGGACACACGAGGATAGAATTTGAAACACATGAACAAAGAGATGTGGGAATACAGAGGGACACACACACATGGACAGGGACACAAAGATAAAGACCCCCCGTATAGCCTTAACAGACTGGAGGGGCAAGTGCCATTAGCGAGCACCTATGAAGGCCGGCACACGAGGGGGTTGGTGGCCAACACCACGCCCGGCCGCCTTTGTCTCCCTAGTGACGATGTTTACACATCGCACCAGGTACTAATTTGAGGCTGAGTCGACCTAGGGGAGGCCCGGGACCGGTTCAGATAATCGTCACCGGTGTTGGCCGTGAGCGGGAATCGAACCTGGGTCGCCAGGTTCATAGCGCAGCGTAGCGCTAACTACTACACCACCGCTCCCCATACACACACATAGACAGGGACACACACACATGGACAGGCACACACATGGGGAGGCATATATATGGAGACACATGGTAGCATATAGGAACAAAAACAAATGGGGAGGCATGGGGTCAGAGACACATGGGGAAAGAGACAAAGAGGGATACATGGGAACACATAAAGGCAGAGACATGTACATCCAGAGACACACTGACACATGAAGACATATACACGGAGACACACGAGGAGAAATAGTAACAAAGACACAGGGACACAGAAATAGGGAGACACATGAAGATACATAAGGATTGATTCACATGACATTTTTATTTTACCAGGTTTTTCAGTTAGTTTTTTCAGTTTCAATTTATCTGGTAGAGCCCTGTGAGCCATTCGGCTCTTGAATCGGGTGTAAGTTGAGGCCCACCGAGTTATAGAACTCTTTTTCGGTGCGAAAAAAGTTCAACAAACACGTGTGATAACCTTGCTGATCTCGTCCAAGAGCATAAACCATCACGCAATCTCCGCTGGTCACGGCATCGCGTTCTTTCAGACGCGCTTCTGCGGCCGTCTGGAACGTTCTTCCTTCATCTAGATTAACAACTAAACTCTTTATAATGTGTGTTCGTGTTTGTTGTTCTTCCATCCAGTACAAGTTCAACACGCACACAGTGCAAACAAAACGAAACTACGTTTATTTGATCACTTACGGAGCAGTAAATAGAATCCGAACAAAAGCCATTGATACGAACAATATGAAGTTAATGTTAATAGGGTACCGCATTAACAATGTTAATACGTACCGTAATTAACATTAACTTGTTCGTATCAGTGGCTTTTGTTCGGATTCTATTTACTGCTCCGTTTTTTTTTTGCTTTTTATTTAGAGTTTTGTTTCCCATCTCCATGACTTTACCGAGAGAACCAAGATTACGTGGTACACGGTATCAATAATGTGATCACAGCCGACTTTATACAACAGTTATTATTGTTTATTTCTTGGTGGGACTAAGTTAATGTTAATTACGGTACCTTTGAAGATTGTTAATGCGGTACCCTATTAACATTAACTTCATATTGTTGGTATCAATGGCTTTTGTTCGGATTCTATATACTGCTTCGTTTTTTTTCCTTTTAATTGAGATTTTTGTTCCCATCTACGTGACTTTACCGAGAGAACCAAGAATATGTGGTACACGGTATCAATAATGTGATTACAGCCGACTTTATACAACAGTCATTATTATTGTTTATTTCTTGGTGTGACTAAGTTAATGTTAATTACGGTACCTTTTAACATTGTTAATGCGGTACCCTATTAACATTAACTTCATATTGTTCGTATCAATGGCTTTTGTTCGGATTCTATTGACTGCTCCGTTTTTTTTGCTTTTAATTTAGATTTTTGTTTCCCATCTACGTGACTTTACCGAGAGAACCAAGAATATGTGGTACACGGTATCAATAATGTGATTACAGCCGACTTTACACAACACTTATTATTGTTTATTTCTTGGTGTGACTAAGTTAATGTTAATTACGGTACGTATTACCATTGTCAATGCGGTTCCCTATTAACATTAACTACATATTGTTCGTTACAATGGCTTTTGTTCGGATTCTATATACTGCTCCGTTTTTTTTGCTTTTAATTTAGATTTTTGTTTCCCATCTACGTGACTTTACGGAGAGAACCAAGAATACGTGGTACACGGTATCAATAATGTGATCACAGCCGACTTTATACAACAGTTATTATTGTTTATTTCTTGGTGGGACTAAGTTAATGTTAATTACGGTACCTTTGAAGATTGTTAATGCGGTACCCTATTAACATTAACTTCATATTGTTGGTATCAATGGCTTTTGTTCGGATTCTATATACTGCTTCGTTTTTTTTCCTTTTAATTGAGATTTTTGTTCCCATCTACGTGACTTTACCGAGAGAACCAAGAATATGTGGTACACGGTATCAATAATGTGATTACAGCCGACTTTATACAACAGTCATTATTATTGTTTATTTCTTGGTGTGACTAAGTTAATGTTAATTACGGTACCTTTTAACATTGTTAATGCGGTACCCTATTAACATTAACTTCATATTGTTCGTATCAATGGCTTTTGTTCGGATTCTATTGACTGCTCCGTTTTTTTTTGCTTTTAATTTAGATTTTTGTTTCCCATCTACGTGACTTTACCGAGAGAACCAAGAATATGTGGTACACGGTATCAATAATGTGATTACAGCCGACTTTACACAACACTTATTATTGTTTATTTCTTGGTGTGACTAAGTTAATGTTAATTACGGTACGTATTACCATTGTCAATGCGGTTCCCTATTAACATTAACTACATATTGTTCGTTACAATGGCTTTTGTTCGGATTCTATATACTGCTCCGTTTTTTTTGCTTTTAATTTAGATTTTTGTTTCCCATCTACGTGACTTTACGGAGAGAACCAAGAATACGTGGTACACGGTATCAATAATGTGATCACAGCCGACTTTATACAACAGTTATTATTGTTTATTTCTTGGTGGGACTAAGTTAATGTTAATTACGGTACCTTTGAAGATTGTTAATGCGGTACCCTATTAACATTAACTTCATATTGTTGGTATCAATGGCTTTTGTTCGGATTCTATATACTGCTTCGTTTTTTTTCCTTTTAATTGAGATTTTTGTTCCCATCTACGTGACTTTACGGAGAGAACCAAGAATATGTGGTACACGGTATCAATAATGTGATTACAGCCGACTTTACACAACAGTCATTATTGTTTATTTCTTGGTGTGAATAAGTTAATGTTAATTACGGTACGTATTACCATTGTCAATGCGGTTCCCTATTAACATTAACTACATATTGTTCGTTAATGGCTTTTGTTCGGATTCTATATACTGCTCCGTTTTTTTTGCTTTTAATTTAGATTTTTGTTTCCCATCTACGTGACTTTACGGAGAGAACCAAGAATACGTGGTACACGGTATCAATAATGTGATCACAGCCGACTTTATACAACAGTTATTATTGTTTATTTCTTGGTGGGACTAAGTTAATGTTAATTACGGTACCTTTGAAGATTGTTAATGCGGTACCCTATTAACATTAACTTCATATTGTTGGTATCAATGGCTTTTGTTCGGATTCTATATACTGCTTCGTTTTTTTTCCTTTTAATTGAGATTTTTGTTCCCATCTACGTGACTTTACGGAGAGAACCAAGAATATGTGGTACACGGTATCAATAATGTGATTACAGCCGACTTTACACAACAGTCATTATTGTTTATTTCTTGGTGTGAATAAGTTAATGTTAATTACGGTACGTATTACCATTGTCAATGCGGTTCCCTATTAACATTAACTACATATTGTTCGTTACAATGGCTTTTGTTCGGATTCTATATACTGCTCCGTTTTTTTTGCTTTTAATTTAAATTTTAGTTTCCCATCTACGTGACTTTACCGAGAGAACCAAGGCACATTCATTCCTGCAGTCACGCGAGTTTTAAAAGTCCCAACTCACCGCTCACATGCACAGGCCCTCCTGTCGAGGTTCCGACTGAGGCCGAGGCCTTCCTTTGACCGTCGCCGTCACCGACCGCGATGTGAACTGACGATAACAAGGCGACCGACAATTATAAACGTGTCTGACAATTACAAGGCGATCGCCGTCACGACGCGAACGGGATAACGCGCCGGGCAACAATCACCGCAACGATTCGCACGCCGAGTGGACAGACGCGTCCAGCCGCCTCGTGACCCCTGACCTGTTGCGCAATCTCGGCCCCTACCAACTGCGAGCTCGGCAGGGGGGGGAGGTTGTTAAAATAAAATCTTCTAAATTAACATTGCTTAGGACTAAAATCAACCGAGGCTATTTGTTACAAAAAAATTGGGTTTCTTAGTTATTTGTACAATATAAAAGCGAGCATTCGTGTGGCAAATATGTTATTGCAAATAACAGTAGTTTAATCGGTTTGTTGATGTCCCCTGTTTTTATTGACAACGTGGTACAATCGAGGCGTTACCATGGCGGCGCTCGCGCGTGATGATGTCACGGTAGAACGTTTAAGCCGGTGTCACTGCGGTGACGTCAACCAACACCGTTACGTAACGTGCGACGACGGCAATAAATGCGCGATGACGTCATCGCGTTGGTTTACCTCGCACGTGATTGCGTCACCGTGAAGACGCCGTGCGTAATGACGTCCCGTAGCTTTACGTATGTCAACAACACCGCCGTGCGTGATGACGTAACGACAACGCGTACGTGTCTTTGTCGAGAGACGCGGCTGTCCGGGCACAAGTTTGCGTGCGTCATTACGTCGGTGACGTCATTCCGTCAGCATCGTGACGTCATCACGCACGTAAACTCGGCACGAGGTCGCGTACGTCATTACGTCACCCTGCGCCGTGACGTCACCACGCACGTAAACTCGGCACGAGGTCGCGTACGTCATTACGTCACCCTGCGCCGTGACGTCACCACGCACGTAAACTCGGCACGAGGTCGCGTAACGTCATTACGTCACCCTGCGCCGTGACGTCACCACGCACGTAAACTCGGCACGAGGTCGCGTAACGTCATTACGTCACCCTGCGCCGTGACGTCAGCACGCACGTAAACTCGGCACGAGGTCGCGTAACGTCATTACGTCACCCTGCGCCGTGACGTCACCACGCACGTAAACTCGGCACGAGGTCGCGTACGTCATTACGTCACCCTGCGCCGTGACGTCATCACGCACGTAAACTCGGAAGAGCAATTACGGAATTCCCCTTCCCAGCGTCGCACGCAACAGTCGTAGCAGCAGCAGCAACAACAACAACAACCGCGAACGAGCAGCAGGAGACTAAAGCAGAACTAAGAAGTCGTCGCAAGAGGAGCCGACGTACCACCCGCTCGCCATGGGAGCCGCGATTGGCATCTGCTCCATTGCGAGCTGGGTGAGTTGACATTTTTGTGTTTGTTTGTTTTCACGAGCGGGCGGGCAGAACACCGCTCATCATGGCCAGCTCCCTCGCCCTCATTGCCGTCGTCGTCCTCGTCACAATCATCGTGGGCAGACATGGTCAATCCACTGCTGGATGGACAAGGGCCTCCCCTTGTCACCGCCACCGATCTCCCACGGGTGACCTCGCTCCTGGCTCGCTCACGGAGCCGAATGACCCCGGCATGGCGAAGGGTCCCCACGGCCTCGTCCTGAGGGGTGGAAGAGGTCTTCTTGAACGTTCGAGATTTGAAAGCTTTCGTGACTGCAAGGATTCATATTCTTGGGTTTTTTTCGGTAAAGTCACGTAGGTAAAACATTAAAAGTTAATAAAAGTAAAATAAATATATAAAATATTTTATTTTAAGTAAAATAAAATAATATATTTTATTTTAAGTAAAATAAAATAGTATAATATTTTATTTTACTTTTATTATTTGTAATGTTTTACCTACGTGACTTTACAGAAAAAAATTAAGAATACTTCTTGAACGTCTCATCTCTCATGGTGGTGGTGGTGGTGGGTGGTCCATGAGGAGGGATTTGACGGTGTTCGTGGTGGCCGCGTTGTTAACGTGACCCCTGATAGGTGTTTGTGGGGTAAGATCGCGTAGATATAAACCCGCCACAGACATCTTCTTGGTTCTTTCGGTAAAGTCACGTAGAAGGGAAATAATAAAATAATAAAAATAGAACAATAAAATTCTCACGACGTTTCGGCCACAACGCAAGCAGCCGTCCTCAGGTGAAGAACAGGTCTGTCGGAAAGACAGCGTCTGAATGAACACCACCATGCTTGGCAGTGTATATTTAAGCTGGCTTAGAGGGGGAAGGGCGCCTTGACAAAGGAATTTGCATATCAACAGAGGAATTTAGCATATTTATGGGAATGCAGGTATGGGATTAGTCACTACTTGTGGAATGCGTAGGAGGTGGGGGGGGGCGTTTCAAAGTCCTATTATGCCCGTGCATTATGTAGGATTAGCACAGACAATTGAGTAAACTTAACAAGCAAATGGGCATGTTTGAGACCTGAAAATCTGCAATGTTTATATTGGAGGAATCCTATGAAGCGCCGCCCTTCACATGTCCAGTAGGGGCACGGGGTAAGGACGATACAGTAACAAACAGGACACAAAAACACGATGTCCTCACGTTCGGAATGCCCTTCTGGATTGGAGTTAACGTGTATTTTTAGTCATTGATTAATGATCTCTGAATCTATACGAGTCTATGGGTCTCTATCGAAGCCACTGGTGGGCCAGGCTGAGACCATCAACTTCACTGCGCTTGAGAATCACAATTCTAGTGTTTTCGAGTAGTTCAATCTTAATTTTGGAGCTTTCGTGACTGCAGGAATTATTCTTTGGTTCTTTCGGTAAAGTCACGTATAAAGATAAAATAATAAATTAAATAATAGCTACATGTAAATTGTATCTCTAACCCCTCCCTCTCTCTGCCTCTGCCCCCCTGTCTATTTAAGGCCACCCCACAGAGACGATCTCCCTCTCTGTAACTGTGTTACTCTCTCTATGTATCTTGGTGATATCTGTCTGCTCATATGTCTGTCTATAGTTTTTTGGTTAGATTTTTTGTTGCTAATTAATTTATACCTGATGATGATTGCTTGTGTTGCAATCGAAACGTCGTATGCTATTATTTAATTTATTAATTTATCTTTATACGTGACTTTACCGAAAGAACCAAAGAATGTTTTCGAGTAATTGAATTCCTCTGAATCACGTGTAATAGGATGAATTTAGCGCGGGTATTATCATTTGCAAACACGGGAATATTTTCAGACAATAGCAAGGAATAAGGCCACTGGTAATAGGCGTTTTTTTTGGACGCTACATCTGCCACGGTTAATAGGATTGTCGGACAGTATGAAGGACGGATAATAGGGACGTGCATAAGAGGAGTTCTGTGGTTTCATAACGACTTGGTTGGAGACGGGGCTCGCAATGGCCTCCTAATGCTGTCTGCACCTGCCTTGTGTCCCCTCGCCCCCCTCCCTCGCCCCCCTCCTTGACCCCCCTTCTCGCCCCTCTCTGGCCCCCCTCCCTCGCGCCCCTTCCTCGACCCCTCCCTCGCCCCCCTCCTCGCCCCCCCTCCTCGCCCCCCTCCCTCGCCCCCCTCCTTGACCCCCCTTCTCGCCCCTCTCTGGCCCCCCTCCATCGCCCCCCTCCCTCGCCTCCCTTGCCCCCCTCCCTCGCCCCCTTCCTCGCCCCCTCCCTCGCCCCCCTTCCTCGCCCCCCTCCCTCGCCCCCCTCCCTCGCCCCCCTCCCTCGCCCCCCTCCTCGCCCCCCTCCTCGCCCCCCTCCCTCGCCCCCCTCCTCACCCCCCCTCCTCACCCCCCCTCCTCGCCCCCCTCCCTCGCCCCCCTTCTTGACCCCCCTTCTCGCCCCTCTCTGGCCCCCCTCCATCGCCCCCCTCCCTCGCCTCCCTTGCCCCCCTCCCTCGCCCCCCTTCCTCGCCCCTCGCCCCCCTCCCTCGCCCCCCTCCCTCGCCCCCCTCCTCGCCCCCCTCCCTCGCCCCCCTCCCTCGCCCCCCTCCCTCGCCCCCCTCCCTCGCCCCCCTCCCTCGCCCCCCTCCTCGCCCCCCTCCCTCGCCCCCCTCCTCGCCCCCCCTCCTCGACCCCCTCCCTCGCCCCTTTCCCTCGCCCCCTCCTTGACCCCCTTCTCGCTCCCCTCTGGCCCCCCTCCCTCGCCCCCCTCCTCACCCCTCCCCGCCCCCACAGATCCCGTGCCTGTGTGGCCGCGCGTCCTGCTTGCTGTGCAGCTGCTGCCCCAGCGGCCGCACGTCGACGGTGACGCGCCTGGTCTACGCCTTCTTCCTGCTGCTTGGCACCATCATGGCGGCCGTGATGCTGGCACCGGGGCTCGAGAATCAGCTCAAGAAGGTACGCGCGTTTGTGACTGTGCGTGCCTGTGTGTGTGTTACTGTGGGGAGCGGTAGTGTAGTGGTTAGCGCGCTGCGCTACGAACCCCGGCGACCGGAGTTTTATTCCCGCTCGTGGCCAACACCGTTGATGATTATATCGGAGCCGGGCCTAGGTCGACTCAAATGAGTAGCTGGTGATGTGTGTAAACATTCATTGCCACCAGGGAGACGAAGGCCACCGGGCGTGGCGTTGGCCACACCACCCTTTTGTGTGCCGTGCCGGCCTTCGTAGGTGCTGCTCGCTATAAACAGCACTTTGCCCAACAGCCTGTCAAAGGCCATGCAAGGATCCTTGTCTTTCAAATTAATCGTCAGTACATTCCCCGCTATCATTCTCGTAGCGCAAGGCTGCAGCCTGCACTAGTTTTAGCATCGGGTGGACGATGTTGCCTTGTATTCCCCACGTGAGTATATTGCCACTCATAGTGCGCGCGTGTGTGTGTGTGTGCGCTTGCCCGTCTCTTCCCCCTCCTCCTGCCCTCTGCCTGCCCCCTCCCCCCCACACCGGCAACACGCAGGTGCCAGCGCTGTGCCACGGCGGCGCCGGCACGCAGGTGCCCGGCGTGCACGGCTACGTGAACTGCGAAGCGCTCGTGGGATACGAGGCCGTGTACCGCGTGTGCTTCTCGCTCTCCGTTTTCTTCCTGCTGCTGTCGATCATCACCATCAACGTGAAGACGAGCCGCGACCCTCGCGCCCACCTGCACAACGGGTCCGTGACGGGAGACACGCGACGCGGCCGAGCCATTGTCGTGCGGATCACGCCGAACGGTTCTCGGCGGCGCCCGTAGCCGGGGGGGGCGGTGCGGTAGCCCCTTTGTCTGTGAGCCGGCACCGTGTAGGCAGCCGTACCCTGGCTCTGACAGGAGAAGGTGGCGCACCGATAATGGGTTTCCTCCCGAGTAGGGGGATACACCAATCCCATACAGACGGAATACATCTTCTTATTTCTTTCGGTAAAGTCACGTAGAAGGGAAGTAATAAAAGAATAAAAATAAAACATAATAAAATAATTCTCACGACGTTTCGGCCACAACGCAAGCAGCCGTCCTCAGGTGGTGGTAGCCAGCACCACCAGCCGCTTAATCCCTTCTACGTGACTTTACTGAAAGAACCAAGAAGATGAATCCCTGCAGTCACGAACGCTTTAAATCGAAATACAGACGGAATAGTTAGGATTCCACATTTTCCTATGCCACTTTCTCCTGGCGAGCCAGGGTACGTCTCCTCAACGCTGCCTTTTGTGTTTAGTTTGTTGTCCTTCCCCCGCCACCTCCGATTTGCACGGTTGGTTACATACGGTGCGAAAGAAGTTCAGACATTCATACACTGCTCACGGGAAGGGAGTTTCACATCTGCGTGTGATCCACAAACCCTCGCTGACTCCTCCACAGCGCTGGGTTACAGGCCACGGGGAGCGTAGCCACCACCACCTGCTTAATCGCCATTAGCCAAATGATATTAGTCTGCACTTTGCCGTACTGCCTTTTCCTGGCGAGCCAGGAGTACTGCTCCTCCTTAACGCCCACTCACGGGAAGGGATTTTCACACCATTTGTGCGGTGATCCTCCAGCCCCTCGCTGCTGCCTCCGGCACAGCACTGGAGGATTGCAGGCAGCGTAGCCACCACCGCCACCGCCACCCGGCTAAAGAATTAGCGTTTACCCTCACCGCAACGGAATGATAGGGACGGACAGAGCCGGCGCACGTGAATTGTTGCAGCCGTCGTCGGAGAGAGAGTTGAAAATACACAGCAGTTTCTCCCCCCCCCCCCCCAACTCACGCCGTCTGTTCTTCTGCAGGTTTTGGCTGCTCAAATTCCTCCTGCTCGTCGGCATCTTGGTCGGGTCCTTCTTCATCCCCAAAGGCGGCTTCACCACCGGTGGGTGACTAAGAGGGTTGAAGCCTTGGCAACAAGCCACGACAGGAAGTCCTCTGTTTACGTCGCCTCGCTAGAACGTTGCCTCGCTAGAACGTCGCCAATGAGTTAGGGTTTGGTAAAGAAGGGGCGCCGCGGTAGCTATGAGATTTCGATTTGAAGCTTTCGTGACTGCAGGGATTCATCTTCTTGGTTCTTTTGGTAAAGTCACGTAGAAGGGAAATAATAAATCAATAAAAATTTAACATAATAAAATAATTCTCACGACGTTTCGGCCACAACGCAAGCAGCCGTCCTCAGGTGAAGACCGGGTCTGTCGAGGAGACAGCGTCTGAATGAAACACCACCATGCTTGGGGCGTATATTTAAGCTGGGTTGGAAGGGGGCAAGCGAGCCTTGACAAAATAATTTGCATATCAAGAGGAATTTAGCATATTTATGGGAAATGCAGGTATGTGATTAGTACTACTTGTGAAATGCGTAGGAGGTGGGCAGGGGGGTTTCAAAGTCATATTATGCCCGTGCATTATGCAGGATTATCAGCATCAAAGGGAGGGCATAGGGGTAGCATCAATATTATGTTTTATTTTTATTGTTTTATTATTTCCCTTCTACGTGACTTTACCGAAAGAACCAAGAAGATAGCTATGAGATGTTAACTCCCTCGCCTGGTATATAGGGGGTCGCGAGTTCGATCCCGACCCTGACGCCTGCTGTATATTTTTAGTTTGCGGATGTCTCTCTCTCTCTCTCCCCGTGATCGCGTGGATTTTTTTCTCCTGGTCCTCTGATTTTTCCCTCCACGTTTAGAATCGACATCACGCGTTTAGAGTATTTGGCGGCTGCTAGAAATTGCCACGTGATGATGAGCCACTTCATTGAGCTATAATTTATGTATGTCCAGGTAGCTTCTAAGTGGGCCTCACCTGGTAAAAAAAAAAATTACCCGTAAAAACAAAGTTTTTCACTATAAATCCTTTATATGCGTGGCGGCTAGAGTCCTCTCGTCCTCTGGCTTGAGATGACTGCCACCTATGGGTCAGATGATTGCCTGCCACCATTAAGCAATTAGTAATTAAATATTTAAAAAAAATTCCTAAAAAGTGTAAAATTTTGGGGAAAAAATTTCACGAAAATAAATTGTCACGCACAACGAGTCTGTGTGCAAAATGTCAGCTCGATTGGATCACGGGAAGTGGGTAAAAAACGACCGAAAGATTTGCACGGTCGTAAGCGCGCAAGCAAGTGAACTTAATATAAAGGATTTAAAAAGTGTTAGTTTCTTGAACTTCGATTTAAACTGCATTGATTCTCTATGCCACGGCGCCCCCTAGTGGCCTATCACCCCTCGGTGTTTACAACTTGGGCACGTATGTACTATGTTGAATTTATTTCACGCCGTGCGTAGCCAACAGTGCAAATCGGAGGTGCATGGCAAGGACAACAAACTAATCCCAAAAAGCATTTCTAAATGAATGAGTTTTCAACCGAAATGTAAAAGTGCGTAGTTCCCGTGGCTTCCTAATATCCATACTGGCTCTTGCGCTCCCCTCTCTTCTGCAGCCCAGCTCTGGAGAGTACTCTATTACATTGTATATTTAAACTGGTTCTATCATATCTTTTGAGTATCCTTTTTTTGTCTTTTGGTACTTAATATTTTCGTCTACAATATTTTGACCACAAAATTACCCCCGGGAACATACACTAAATGTAACGGTAAAATAGGTTTAGGTCGACGTTTCGCCTAACGTCATTTTTTCCAAGGACGCATCCCAAAAGTAAACGGAGGACTTGCTCTGGTGTGGGCATGTGTTCATCATCGTCGTCAGTTGCTTATTTCGTTCAACCAGAACGAAATTCAAATTTTCGACAGTAAATGACTCCTACCCCTTCGAAACGTAACCGTACCGCCCATCAATAAAGTGGTAGCATTGTAACGCTGTCTCTCCTCCCACCGCCTCCCACCATCCCCCCACCACCACACCCGCCCCCCACCACCCACCACCCTCCCCCCCCACCGCCCGCCCACCCCCCTCCCCCGGTGACACCCTCCCCCAGCGTGGTTCTACGTGGGCATGGGGGGAGCGTTCTGCTTCATCCTCATGCAGCTCATCCTCCTGGTGGACTTTGCCCACTCCTGGAACGAGTCCTGGATCGAGAGGATGGAGGAGGGAAACTCACGCTGCTGGTATGCGGGTAAGTCGATCGCGCCCGCTCGCTCACCTACCCGCTCGCTCGCTCACCTGCCCGTCCGCTCACCCGCCCGCCCACTCTCGCACCCGCCCGCTCGCTCACCCTGCCCGCTCGCTCACCCTGCCCGTTTGCTCACCCTGCCCACTCGCTCACCTGACCACTCGCTCGATGACTCACCCTGCCTACTCCACTTCTAGCCCACCCATTCAGCTGTTCGACTCTCTCACCTACTCAATCCTTCGCTCACCCATTCACCCACTCGCTCACTCGCCTACCTGCCATCCTGCACTGACGCTCGCTCACTCGTTCACTTGTTCATCCACGAGCCCATTTACCCGTTTACCTGTCCACTTTACCTCTCTCCTGCTTACCCACTCACCTGCTCACCTCTTCACCCACTCTCCCACTAATGCATTCACCTGCTCGCCCACCTTCCCGTTCACCGGCTCATCTACTATTCCGTTCACCCTCTCACCCGCCTGCCCATTCCTCTGCTCGCCAACTCACCCACCTGCGCATTCCTCTGCTCGCCAACTCACCCACCTGCCCATTCCTCTGCTCGCCAACTCACCCACCTGCTCATTCCTCTGCTCGCCAACTCACCCACCTGCCCATTCCTCTGCTCGCCAACTCACCCGCCTGCCCATTCCTCTGCTCGCCAACTCACCCGCCTGCCCATTCCTCTGCTCGCCAACTCACCCGCCTGCCCATTCCTCTGCTCGCCAACTCACCCACCAGCCTCCATTCGGCGCGCACGGTGAACGCTATAGACCATAACGCACAGCGCGTGTGCGGCTGATCCGGGGGGGGGCGGGCCCGTGACTGGGATAGCGCCGTAACTCGCGCGAGTGGCGCCCCCCCCCCCTCGCAGCGCTCATGACGGTGACGGTGCTGGGCTACGCGGTGTCGCTCGTGGCCGTCGTGCTCTTCTTCCTGTTCTACGCCGGCCACGAGAGCTGCGTCGCCAACAAGGCCTTCATCTCCGTCAACATGCTGCTCTGCCTCGCCATCTCCATCACCTCCGTGCTGCCCAAGATCCAGGCACGCGCGCACGTGGTCACACTCGCGCACACGCTCATGCGCACTCACGCATGCTCGTACACGCTCACACACGCTCACACACGCTCGCGCACACTCACGCGCGCACACATGCACACACTCACGCGCTCGCACACGCTCACACGTGCACACGTGTGCTCATACATGCAAGCTCCCACATGTTCACGCACACACGTTCGCATGGTGTCCCAATCCAGTACACTTATTGTTATTCTTTCAATACAGGAAGTCAGTCTGGGAAGTCGTTCTGCCTTCCTGGAGCGTTGCTTCTGACTTTCCTCTGCATCTTGCCATAAATTAAACGGGCGATACTAAAGGCAGCAAAATGTGTGGACTCGTGTACGTCCTCACGGGATGGAGTGTTTTACCCGTCGCACGCGTGGGTTTCTCTCCCGGGGTGGTCTGCTCTCCTCCCACATACAAACGCTCGCTGTTAATTGACCGATAACGCCTTAATAGCTCGAGGACCACAGAGCTTGGGCGATCGTTGGTAGCGCCGGCTCCTCACCACCTCTCTACGAGAGCAATGAGTGAGAACTCATTACGTCTGACACAATCTCAAACGAAACATACTATCAGATCGTCCGCTTCGTGAGCACCTGCTGCGGTGTGTAAACACTCGGCACTGGGGAGACAAAGGCTGCCGGACGTGGTGTTGGCCTCCCCAATCCGCTCTTGCGTGCGTCGCGCAGAGAGGGGTGGGTGAGCGATGGTAAACACATTCCTGCGGAGGGAGCTGTAAGGAACGTTGGGTTGCTCGGTCAATGGCCAGGGTCAACGGCGGCGTGGTGTATTCCGCAAATATGCCCGACTCTGAGGGCGGGTACAAGCCGGCGTGAGTAGGTTAAACGTTGAGTTTTATAAGGGCACCACGGTGTGACCAGCCCCTCCCCATCCAGGCCCTCCCCACCCTCCCCACCCAGCCCCTCCCCACCCTCCCCACCCAGCCCCTCCCTCCCCACCCAGCCCCTCCCTGCACGACGGACGGACACAATAATCCCCTGTGGCCTGGTGGAACCAGGTGGTTCCTACCAGTATTGTCGAGAGCATTACTTTCTTCACTGTCTTCACCGAGCTCCTGTCCGTATGAGGCCCAAGAGCACCAAGCGTCCAGCCACAAACAGCACCGTTGACGTTGCTTTAGATGAGAGGTAACCCCCCCCCCTCTCCCTACTCCTTGTTAAGTGGAGCAAGGTTACAAGGGACCAAACACGGTGACGCCATCCATGCCTGTCCCTGGGCTTCTCCTAGGTCAACTCGGCCTTAAATAAAGTGGGTACCTGCTGACCTGCTGCGGTGTGTAAAACGTCGACACCGGGGAAACGCACAAAGAGCGGCCGGGCGCTGCGTGGTGCTGGCCGCACCCGCCCCGTCATGTGCCGTTGCTGGCCTCAATAGGTGCTGCTCGCTAACAACACTTGCCCCCGTCAGTTTCTTGAAGGCTATAAGGGGGATCTTTGTCTTTGTGCGCAGTGGTGGGGCACGGTGGGGAGCGGCAGTGCAGCGGTTATCGCGCCGCGCTACGAACCCGGAGGGCCGAGTTCCATACCCGCTCACGGCCAATGTCATTGACGATTATCTGAACCGGTCCTGGGCCTTTCCCCTAGGCTGACCCGGGCTCAAAGAGACATGCACCTGGTGCGGTGTGTGAACAGTATCAGCACCGAGCATGGTGGTTGTGGCCACACCGCCGTGTCGTGCACCATGCCGCAAGGGGTACACGGGGGTGGGCTCTCTCTTTGTCTTTGTAGGAGGGGCAGCCCCGGTCAGGCCTGCTGCAGTCCTCCATCATCACCCTCTACACCATGTACCTCACCTGGTCGGCGATGAGCAGTGAGCCAGGTACCCATCGCGAACGATGCGTGAAATGATTTATTTGACGTGCCCCACATTGGTGTGATGTTATCTTCCTCCGCCTGGTTTGCAGGAGGTCAGGGGTTCGATCCCGACCCTGATGCCTGTATATTTGGAGTTGGCGTGTCTCTCTCGCCGTGGTCACGTGGAATTATATTTTTTTATCCGGGTCCTCCGGTTTTTCCCTCATCATTTTTGAAACATGCATTTAGTTTATTTTGGATTATTTTGCTGCTATAAATGTCCACGTGATGATAAGCCACTTCGTTGAGCTACCATTTATGGCCAGGTCGCTTCTGAAAAATAAGTTCATAGCTCAGTGGGCTTTACCTGGTAAGATAAACATTGTTTAGTTTCATTTCCTTTTTTAAGTGTTTACTTTTTCCTATATTTGCACTTCGTGTTTTTGTAGCGTTGTCGTCGTAACATTGTGACCCTGTGCCCCGACAGGACATCTGTGAAGAAGAGCTTTATAGCTATATTCTTAGGTTTTTTTGGTAAAGTCACGTAGGTAAAAAATTAAAATTAATAAAAGTAAAATAAAATAAAAATCACGACGTTTCGATTGCAACACAAGCAAAAACTATAGACAGACATATAAGCAGACATCTGTCTGCTTATATGTCTGTCTATAGTTTTTCTGGTTAGAATTTTCTGTTGCTATTTCATTTATACCTGATGATGATTGCTTGTGTTGCAATGGAAACGTCGTGATTTTTATTTTTATTTTATTTTACTTTTATTAATTTTAATTTTTTACCTACGTGACTTTACCGAAAAAACCTAAGAATATGAATCCTTGCAGTCACGAAAGCTTCAAATCTAGCTTTATAGCTCTTCGGATTCCTTCTCCAGTTTAAAATAAAGATTCCGATTCGGCCGTTGAGCTCTTTCGAGGGGCGAGGACCGCGCACGACTTTCACTTGAATGTTTTCTCCGCGCGCAGAGCGCACCTGCAACCCGAGCCTCATGTCGCTGATGACGACCATCTCGGGGGGCGCGGGGGGCCACGTGAACACCACGACCCCGGCCCCCACCACCTCCGCCGTGCCGGCGTCGCCGCAGTGGTGGGACGCGCAGAGCATCGTGGGCCTGGTCGTCTACCTGCTGTGCGTCCTCTACTCCAGGTGAGCCGCCACACCGCCCGCTGCTCACCACGGCTGTGGTGGGGGTGGTGGTGGTGCTGGTGGTGGTGCTGGTGGTGGTGCTGATGGTGGTGGTGCTGGTGGTAGTGCTGGTGGTAGTGCTGGTGGTGGCGGTGGTGCTGATGGTGGTGGTGTGGGTGGTGGTGCTGGTGGTGCTGGAGTTGGTAGTGCTGATAGTGGTGCTGATGGTGGTGGTGCTGGTGGTAGTGCTGGTGGTGCTGGTGGTGCTGGAGTTGGTAGTGCTGATAGTGGTGCTGATGGTGGTGGTGCTGGTGGTAGTGCTGGTGGTGGTGGTGGTGCTGGTGGTGGAGGTGCTGGAGTTGTTAGTGCTGATATTGGTGCTGATGGTGGTGGTGCTGATGGTAATAGGAAGTGTTGCTGGTGGTGCTGATAGTAGTGGCGGTGCTGACGGTGCTGGTGGTGGTGCTGGTGGTGGTGTTGTTGGTGGTGGTGGTGCTGATGGTAATGGGAGGTGGTGTTGGTGATGCTGATGGTGGTGTTAGTGGTCGTGGTGCTGATGGTGCTGATTATGCTGATGATAGTGGCGGTGCTGATGGTAGTGGTGGTGTTAGTGGTGTTGTTGGTGGTGCTGGTGGTGGTGCTAATGGGAGGTGGTGCTGCTCGTGGAGGTGCTGTCGTTGATAATAGTGGTGTTGTTTATGGAGGTAGTGGCAGTAATTGAGATGGAGGTGCTACTGGTAATGAAGGTGGTGGTGCTGGTGGTCTGAATAGAGATGGTGGTGATCATGTCTCTTTGTATTTCCATCTCTTCACATTTTTGCCTCCATCTGTATCTCTCACATTGCTCCCCCTCTTGCTCTCTCTCTCTCTCATCATCCTTCCCCATCTCCCCATCTCTCTCCCCGTCTCCGCCCCGTCTCTGCCCGCGTCCCGTCCCTCTCCCCCCCCCAGCATCCGCACGTCGAGCCACAGCCAGGTGGGGCGGCTGACGCTGTCGGGAGACGAGTCGGTGCTGGTGAACGAGGGCGGCTCGGCGGACGATGGCGTCGCCGTCAAGTCGGGGAGCGGGCCGGAGGACGAGGAGGGCGACGAAGAGGGTGGCGCGGTGCGCCGGGCCCAAGACAACGAGGCGGGCGGAGTGACCTACAGCTACTGCTTCTTCCACTTCCTGATGTGCCTCGCTTCGCTCTACATCATGATGACGCTCACCAACTGGTACCGGTGAGCGCTCCGCCGTGCACCGCCGCCGAGCCGAGCCGGGAGGCGCCACGTCGGGGGTTTTTCTCTTTGCTTGCCGGTGAAGTACGCGAGCCGTGGAGTGGAGACGTGGTGTAGGGTGACATGGTAGTGACACTGTAACCTCACCATGTACCGACTGACGTCACGCGTGGTGAATGAGTGGAGACGCGGTGTAGAGTGACATGGTAGTGACGCTGTGACCTCACCGCGTACCGATTGACGTCTGGCGTGGTGAACGAGTGGAGACACGGTGTAGGGTGACATGGTAGTGACGCTGTGACCTCACCGCGTACCAACTGTCAACCACGCGTGGTGAACGAGTGGAGACGCGGTGTAGGGTGACGCGGTAGTGACGCTGTGACCTCACCACGTACCGACTGACGTCACGCGTGGTGAACGAGTGGAGATGCGGTGCAGGTGACGCGGTAGTGACGCTGTGTCCCCACCGCGTACCGACTGACGTCACGTGCGGTGAACGAGTGGAGACGCGGTGTAGGGTGACATGGTAGTGACGCTATGACCTCACCGCGTAGCAACTGTCAACCACGCGAGGTGGACGAGTGGAGACGCGGATGTAGGGTGACGCGGTAGTGACGCTGTGACCTCATCGCGTACCGACTGACGTCACGCGTGGTGAATGAGTGGAGATGCGGTGTAGGGTGACATGGTAGTGATGCTGTGACCTCACCGCGTACCAACTGTCAACCACGCGTGGTGAACTCGTCATAAAGGCCCAGCCCTGGCCCTGCTGGGCCCCGAGCCAGATTCATCCGTCTTGTGAGACCAGCAGCAGCATATGCCGGTTTGGAGCCTGACTTGACTCTCATTCTCCATCTCTCCCCGCTTCCCATGCCTCTCTCTGTCTGTGTCTCTGTTTATCCCCTCCATCTCTCTCCCCTTCCTCTCCCCCCCCCTCCCACCACTGTGCCTCTACCAGGCCGGACGTGGACGGCAAGACGATGGTGACGTCCTGGCCGTCCGTCTGGGTCAAAATCTCCAGCAGCTGGATCTGCCTGGGTCTCTACACCTGGACCCTCATCGCCCCGCTCATTCTGTCCGACCGCGAGTTCGACTGATGGGTCATCGGGTCACCGGGTGCACCGGGTCACTGGGTCACGGGCGTACCCGGGGTCGGCACCGATGCTTTTCGCACATGTACACACGTACACGTGTACACGTACACACGCACACGTACACACGCACACGTACACACGCACACGTACGCGCACACACATGCACGCGTACACACGCGCGCACATGCATACAACAAAGGCTGGGTGGCCAGCTCCACGCCCGGCTGCCTTTTTCTCCCTAGTGACGATGTTTGCACATCGCACACTGGGTACTCATTTGAGGCTGGGTCGACCTAGGGGAGGCCCAGGATCGGTTCAGATAATCGTCACCGGTGTTGGTGGCCGTGAGCGGGAATGCAACTTCTGTAGCCGGGGTTCATAGCGCAGCGTTGCACTAACCACTATACTACTCGACGCACGTGCACGCACACATACGCGCACGCACATAGGCGCACGCACAGACACACGCACAGACACACGCACAGACACACGCACAGACACACGCACAGACACGTACACACACACACACAGACACGTACACACACACGCACAGAAACGTACGCACACACGCACAGACACACGCACGTCTCCCTGCACCAAGGGGCTTTGTTTTTTGTGGCTGGGTGTGTAGCGTTTCGGCAGGTTTCAGAGGGGGACGGTGGATATTCCACATTCCTATGACAGGAAAGATTTTGTCCAGAAGCATGACCCGCATATGTATACTACCAGCATCGTCGTGAAAGGAAGGAGCCATGGTCAATCCACTGCTGGATGTGAAGGCTTCCCCGGTTGACCGCTGCCCACCCGCGGTTCCCGTACCCGCGCACAAACACGGCGACACACACACGCGTTAACATACGTTCGTGCGGCCCTCGTCATAGGAATGTGGAATTTTCACCACTGGCTCTGCACCACTGGATAGAGATTAGTGCATTTTGTTTGTGCGTGGAAACGCAGTGAATATTTTTCTACGTGGTGAATGCGCACGCACACCGCACCGCTCCTCCGACTATCACGGTTGGCTACGTACGGTGCGAAAGAAGTTCAACATATGTAAACACACACACACACGCAGTATATACCAGGGGTGGCGAAACCATGCCCCCTGATAAGTTCATATACCACTGCATCGAGACACAGCTTATTATTAACTTTGAAATATAACTTTAGTTGACACGGGGGTGGGAAATCTGAGGAAGCAGCCGAGGGGCGCTCCCGCGGATTTCTAAACTTTTTCAATAGACAGGACTGTAACTTTTATTTGGCTCTTGGCCCTTGGAGGGTTTGCAGGCTCGGGACATTTGGTTGTGGTGGCTGGCACTGGGCATCGGCAACTCCCCGAGTCAGAGCTGAGCTGTGGTGGTGGTGGTGGGGGAGAGGCGGTCACAGAGTGGTGGTTGAAGTGGTTCCATTGCATAATAAATAATAGGTGGTGTGTAAAAATGAGCTCAAATAAAAAAATGCTAATTAAAAAAAAGTCCCAAGTTTCTCTTACACGTTCTGTATCTCGCTTGTCATCATACCGCATCTCTCTTATTTTTTCTCTAATCGCGCGACATATCTCATCTCTCTCGTGCCTCCATCTGTCTTCGCTTGCCTCTGTCTGCTCGCTCTCACTCACGTGTCTCTGTCTTGGCCGTGTCTCTCGGCTTGTCATCTCACCGTACATCTCCATGTCTACATTTTTCCGCCCCACGTTTGTCTCCTCTCTCAAATCTCTTCTGTCATCTCACTGAGTTTATACACTTAAGGGGCAGGGGGGGCGTGGGGGGTAACCCCCTTAATTGATTTCGGCTGAGACCCCCCCCCCCCCCCCCATTGAGCCAACACCACCACCACTGCACCACCCCTGGTCTGTACCCTGCACACAACGCTATCCGCTCTTGCATGTGTATTGCTTTGTTATAATCGCTCTTGGGGAGTTGGTAATCAGTGGACGCGGCGGGATGACGATGGATGTGCGGTCTACTTACGAACGAGTTCGGTTCCAGTGGTCTGTTCGTAAGTCGATTTGTTCACAAGTCCAACTGTACTCCCGTCGATTCCAAACGTGTTGTACGGCGTGTACACTAAACACGGGGGAATGGCTTTGAAAGTTGTATAATCTCTAGATGTAGATGCCACTGGTCTCTTCACGTTCTTGCAGATGTAGATGCCACTGGTTCTTCACGTTCTGTAGATGTAGATGCCACTGATTCTTTACGTTCTGTAGATGCCACTGGTTCTTCACGTTCTGCAGATGTAGATGCCACTGGTTCTTCACGTTCTGCAGATGTAGATGCCACTGGCCTCTTCACGTTCTGTATATGCAGATGCCACTGGTTCTTCACGTTCTGTAGATGTAGATGCCACTGGTTCTTCACGTTCTGCAGATGTAGATTCCACTGGTTCTTCACGTTCGGCAGATGTAGATGCCACTGGTTCTTCAAGTTCTGTAGATGTAGATGCCACTGGCCTCTTCACGTTCTGCAGATGTAGATGCCACTGGTTCTTCACGTTCTTGCAGATGTAGATGCCACTGGTTCTTCATGCTCTGCAGATGTAGATGCTACTGGTTCTTCATGCTCTGCAGATGTAGATGCCACTGGTTCTTCACGTTCTTGCAGATGTAGATGCCACTGGTTCTTCATGCTCTGCGGATGTAGATGCTACTGGTTCTTCATGCTCTGCAGATGTAGATGCCACTGGTTCTTCACGTTCTTGCAGATGTAGATGCCACTGGTTCTTCACGTTCTGCAGATGTAGATGCCACCACCGCCATCTATTTATTGCACGGCGGTTGAACTTACGACTCTCGGTCCGAACAGGCAACTGGACATACGGACGGGTTTGTTCGTATCTCTGAAAGTTCACAAGTCGAATGTTTGTAAGTGCAGGAGTCCCTGTACTTGCACCACTCCTGGTCTGTACCCTGTACACGATGCTACCCGCTGTTTTGTTGTGTGCATTGCTTCGTTACGATCACTCTTTGGGAGTTCTTGGTAATCGGTGGGCGCCGCGGGTTGACGACGCTGTGCTGTCACGAGCACTTTGCGTCGTCCCTGAGCACGCTTTGAATGCGATGTTGATTTCGGAAAGTAAATGAAAATGTTTGCTGTTCATCGCCATGCGAGTTTGTGTGTGCGCACGTGTATGAGCGTCCCGACGACTCAGAGAGAGGATGACTCGAGAGGACAGAGAGTGGACGACTCGAGAGAACGACTCGGAGAGAGGGGACGATTCAAGAGAGAACGACTCAGAGAGGGGACGACTTGGAGGACGACTCAAGAGAGAACGACTCGGAGAGAGGGGACGACTTGGAGGACGACTCATAGAGACTCGGAGGCACCAGGAGGATGACCCACAGACAAGTGGAAAGGCAGCGGCAGCCTCATAGGCGGCGCTCCCAAAGATCGCCCAAGCTCTGGCAGTCCTCTATATTAAGGTGTTTAATGACGGGTGTTTATTATACGTGCGGGAGGAAACCTGGGTGCCTGTAGAAAATACACGTGCGGAAGACGGAAACACTATCCCACACGCTATCCCATAGACTATCCAATAGACTATCCCATAGCCATAGACTATCATAAACACTCCCCATACATCTTCTTGGTTATTTCGGTAAAGTCACGTAGAAGGAAAAGAATAAAATAATAAAAATAAAACATAATCAAATAATTCTCACGACGTGAAAATTATTTGACTGTGCCTTCTCGACAGACCTGTTCTCCACCTGAAGACGGCTGCTTGCGTTGTGGCCGAAACGTCGTGAGAATTATTTTATTATGTTAAATTTTTATTATTTTATTATTTCCCTTCTACGTGACTTTACCGAAAGAACCAAGAAGATGAATCCCTGCAGTCATGAAAGCCTGAAATCGAAACTCCCCATACACTATCCCATACTTTCTCCTGGCTTGTTGCCAGGGTACGGATCCTCCTCATTCTCCTGCACGCCCACAGAAGAGGATGAGTTTCACATCATCATCAACATCATCATCTGTGTGGTGACCCACCGACCCCTCGCTGCTGCCTCCACAGTTCCGGGTCAATCACCGCCTGGCTCGGTGCAGGTGTTCCTGCATCGGGAAGACAAAGGCGGCCGGGCGTGGTGCTACCTCCACACCCCCCCCCGCCCCCATTCACAACGTGTCGGCCTTCATAGGTGCTCGCTAGCAGCACTTGCCCCCAAAAGTCTTAAGGCTATATGGGGGATATTTGTTTGAAGACGGAAGCTTGTGTTGCCTCCGAAACGTCGTGATTTTTATTTTATTTTACTTTTATTAATTTTAATGTTTTACCTACGTGACTTTACCGAAAAAACCTAAGAATATGTCTGGGGTGTGTTCCACCAGAGTCTCGATATTCATCACCACGCCTCCGAGCCCATATTGGAGCCGCGTGCCCCTTCTGGCTTTTTGGGGCATCGCGGTGGCGAGATGTTACCTACCTTGCCTGGTACGCAGGAGGTCGTGGGTTCGATCCCGACCCTGACGCCTGCTCTATGGAGTCTGCGTGTCTTTTTCACCGTGTCGAGATGTTACCTACCTCGCCTGGTACGCAGGAGGTCGTGGGTTCGACTCCGACCCTGACGCCTGCTGCTCTATGTTTGGAGTTTTCGTGTCTTTTTCACCGTGGCTAGGAGATGTTAACTACCTCGCCTGGTATACAGGAGGTTTCGTGGGTTTGATCCCGACCCTGACGCCTGCTGTATATTTGGAGTTTTCGTGTCTTTTTCACCGTGGCTAGGAGATGTTAACTACCTCGCCTGGTATACAGGAGGTTTCGTGGGTTCGATCCCGACCCTGACGCCTGCTGTATATTTGGAGTTTGTGTGTCTTTTTCACCGTGGCTAGGAGATGTTAACTACCTCGCCTGGTATACAGGAGGTTTCGTGGGTTCGATCCCGACCCTGACGCCTGCTGTATATTTGGAGTTTGTGTGTCTTTTTCACCGTGGCTAGGAGATGTTAACTACCTCGCCTGGTACACAGGAGGTTTCGTGGGTTTGATCCCAACCCTGACGCCTGCTCTATATTTGGGAGTCTGCGTGTCTCTCCCGCCGTGGATTTTTCTCCAGGTCCCCCGGTTTTTGTTTTTGTTCCCTCCACATTTAAAATCAACGTCCACGCGTCCACAGTATTCGGCTGCTACCATCAGTCCCCACGTGGCTAAGCCACTTTCGTTGAGCTGTCATTTGTGATTCGCCAGGTCGCTTCTAAAAAAATTAACCCATAAAAACAAAGTTTTTCACTATAAATCCTTTATATGCGTGGCAGCTAGAGTCCTCTCGTCTTCTGGCTTGAGATGGCTGCCACCTATGGGTCAGATGATTGCCTGCCACCATTAAGCAATTGGTAATTAAATATAAAAAAAAATCCTAAAAAGTGTAAAGTTATGGAACAAAATTTTCACGAAAATAAATTGTCACGCACAACGAGTCTGTGTGCAAAATGTCAGCTCGATTGGATCACGGGAAGTGGGTTAAAAAACGACCGAAAGATTTGCACGGTCGTAAGCGCGCAAGCAAGCAAGCGAGTGAAATTAATATAAAGGATTTAAAAACAAAAGCGCTCCGCAGCTCAGCGGTCTGTGGTTTCACTTTGACCTTGGACGGTGCGCTCACCACTGCGCCACCGTTCCCCATAAGAGACAGACGGACACGACAAGGCAGGGGACGTCGCCACAGCGCTTTTGTGCTCGGTGCACTTTGGACACATGCTCTCACGCAGGCTTGGGGTACACACAAAGACAAAGACCCCCTCCCGCCCCTACAAATTCCAGTGTAGCCTTCACAGACTCATATTCTTAGGTTTTTTCGGTAAAGTCACGTAGGTAAAAAAAATTTAAATTAATAAAAGTAAAATAAAAATAAAATAAAAATCACGACGTTTCGGAGGCAACACAAGCTTCCGTCTTCAGGTGGAACCGTCACAGCACGATAGCTGTATCAAGTGAGAGAAATTCAAATCGAGAACCTTCACAGACTGTTGGGGCAAGTGCGGTTAGCGAGTAGTGGCACCTATGGAGGCCGGAACGGCACACGAGGGGGGTGGGTGGCCAGCACCACGCCCGTCCGCCTTTGTCTCTCTAGTGGAACTACTAATTTTATTTTATTTTTATTTAACTTTTATTATTTTTTTACCTACGTGACTTTACCGAAAAAACCTAAGAATATGGTACTCGGGACTCATTCGAGGCTGAGAAGACCTAGGGAATCGAACTCGGATCGCCAGGTTCGGAACGCAGCACGCTGACCGCTCCACCACCTCTCCTCACCTTACCTGCAGAGGCGCGCACACACACAGGTACTGTACACACCTGTATAAAGGCAAAGGGGCCGTCCATAAATGACGTCACGCACCTGGGGGGTGTTCAGACGTTTGTGACGATGTGTGACGAGGGGGGGGGGGTTGAGAAATGTGACGTCACATCAAAATGCGCAACTTTAAATAAATAGATACATTTTCATTATTAACTATTTGATTATTTAAATTTACTAAGGTCACCCTTTATTCCATGAAGGAGCAGTTTGCTTCTCCATGGGAGAATGGAGAAGCATACATTTTGAAAAATGTTTTAATGATTGCTATTAAACATTTTTGAATTTTATGCTAAATTTAAGCTTTCCAACGCCTCCTTTTTAATAAATGTTTTCTCCTACAACATCAGAGTGCAGCGCCACATTAAATACGCACTACAATGACAATAGTTTAAAGCGATTTGAAGCATGTTTTATTTTCAAAATGAAAAGATGGTTTTGGGAAGGGGGGGGGGCAGAGCTTTGTGACGTCATATTTGAGGGGGGGGTCTGAGTTTTTGTGACGAGGGGGGGGTCAAAAATCGTTCAAAATCGTGTGACGTCATTTATGGACGGCCCCAAATATCCCCCGTATGGTCTTAACAGACTGTCGGACCAAGTGCTGTGAGCGAGCCCCCGATGAATTCCGGCACGGCACACACGCACAGGTACACAACAGGCCTATAGAGTGGGACGCCAAGACACGCTTTCGCCTGTAGGGGCACACACACTGACACCTGCACACCTGCATCGGGACATCGGTACACTCATCTGTAGGGGGCGCGCATACACACACAAGTACACACACACAGGTACACACACACTCGCCTGTTCGACATCCACTCAACTTCCTCGTGAAGTTCTGTACAGCTGAGCCGTGTGCGGGTTTACCCGGCTGCCATCGTGAAGGGTGTGTAACCTTTGGTGCGCCGATTAAGCCAAAGACGGGGGGCCCTCATCCTGCTGCTCGCCTCGAGCCCGCCGTGCCCAGGTGAGGAGGGTGATGCTCACAGGTGAGAGTGCGAGAGAGTGAGCGTCTCGCGCGAGCGATTTACCTGCGCGAGACTGGCGCAAGTCAAACGCCCGAAACGGCGACTCCCAACAACCGAAGCGTTTTGTTGGTTCTTTCGGTAAAGTCACGTAGACAGCGTCTCCCCCGACAGACCTGGTCTTCACCCGAGGACGGCTGCTTGCGTCGTGGCCGAAACGTCGTGAGAATTATCTTATTGTGTTTTATTTTATTATTTCTTTATTTCCATTCTACGTGACGACTTTACCGAAAGAACCAAGAAGATGAATCCCTGCAGTCACGAAAGCTTTAAATTGAAATTCAACCGAAGCGTTGTCATCTGAAACTGCGCCTTGACCAAGGAGGAGGAGGAGGGTGGAGGGGTGGTCTCTCTTGTAAGTGAAGCTTCACCTTCAGGATAAATCGTAACGCTCACCCTAACGCTACTCGCGATTCTAACGTAACACATACCCTTAGCTCTACCCCCTACCCCTCTATCCGTCACTCTACCCCTGACTCTACCCCTGACTCTACCCCTGACTCTACCCTTGACTCTACCCTTGACCTTACCCTACTCATTGACTCTAACCCTTGTACTGTGTTGGTTGTTGTTGCTGCGTCTTGCTGCTGCTGCTGTTGACGCCGTGAGAGAGAGAGAGACACGTCAACAGCGAACTTCCGTGCGCAGTCGAACGCGTGCTGATGGCATGGTGCGCTGTGTTGCTTGACACCCGGAGTGAGCAGAGGGTTAAGAGTCGTCTGGGTTGGGGGTACAGAGGTCGACCGCGATGATTGAGACGACTGAGATGATGCGATTCGTGATGACGACGACGACGCTGACGACGATGATTGTAATACGTCTGCTGCTCAAGATGATTATCATTGCCGATCGATTTTGCTGCAGCTACAGACTATTAACATTCCGTCTTAATGCTTCGCCCTATCCCCTCCCTTTGATGCTGCTAATCCTGCATAATGCACGGGCAAAACATAACTTTAAACCACTCGCCAAACCTCCTACGCATTTCACAAGTAGTACTAATAGCATATCTGCATTTCCCATAAATATGCTAAAATGCCTCTTGATATGCAAATTCTTTTGTCAAGGCGCTCTTCCTCCTCCCTCACAGCTTTAATATACGCTCCAAGCCTGGGGTGTGTCATTCAGACTCTGTCGTCTCGACAGACCTGTTCTTCACCTGAGGACGGCTGCTTGCGTTGTGGCCGAAACGTCGTGAGAATTATTTTATGTTTTATTTTTATTATTTTATTATTTCCATTCTACGTGACTTTACCGAAAGAACCAAGAAGACGCACTGATGATGTTCATATTGTCGCTACTGATCTAAATGACGTTGCAGCTGTGGATACCGATGGTTATATTTCTGTTGATACTACTGCTGCTTCTGCACTATTACGCTGTTGCATATACCGCTACTGATGATGACATATTGTCGCATAGCTATCAACCCCTTATCAGTGCCCCTACCTTATTACAGACCAGTCTAGATCGTATTGGTCACTCCCGTGCCACTTATAAATCTCAGCCTTCATCCTACAAAGTCACATCACAAAGGAGAGAAGCACAAACAAAAAGACACAAACATTTTTCAATTTTCCTGGACAAGAATACGTGTAAACCTGTACGGGGTTTCGATTTAAAGCTTTCGTGACTGCAGGGATTCATCGTCTTGGTTCTTTCGGTAAAGTCACGTAGAAGGGAAGTAATAAAAGAATAAAAATAAAACATAATAAAATAATTCTCACGACGTTTCGGCCACAACGAGGACGGCTGCTTGCGTTGTGGCCGAAACGTCGTGAGAATTATTTTATTATGTTTTATTTGTATTATTTTATTACTTCCCTTCTACGTGACTTTACCGAAAGTAACCAATAAGCTGTACGGGGTTGGCAGCGATGTTGCTTTCACTACTGATGATTTTTCTGCTGCTCTTGGTACTGATCCTGATGTTACTGCTGCTGCTGTGATTTCTGGGACCCATGATACACATTTTAGTTGGGTCGTCCGCGTGTTTCACTGGCACCGCTCAGGGCGTCACTGAATCGTCTACTGCCTGAAGTAGCATTACCAGTAACATCATCAGCAGCAGCATCATTACCAGTAATACCATCATCAGCAGTAACATTACCAGTAACACGATCATCATCAGCAGTAACATTATCAGTGACATCATCAGCAGTAACATTACCAGTAACATCATCATCAGTATCATTACCAGTAACACGATCATCATCAGCAGTAACATTATCAGTGACATCAGCAGCAGTAACATTACCAGTAACATCATCATCAGTATCATTACCAGTAACACGATCATCAGCAGCAGTAACATTACCAGTAACATCATCATCAGTATCATTACCAGTAACACGATCATCATCAGCAGTAACATTATCAGTGACATCAGCAGCAGTAACATTACCAGTAATATCATCATCAGTATCATTATCAGTAACATCATCAGCATCAGCATTGCCAGGACCATCAGCAGCATACCGGTGACATCAACACTATCAGAAAGATCACATATCAGCAGAACCATTTGCAGTAACATCATCCTCGGCAGCACGAATGTCATCCGTTTTTGTACTGATCATCATGTATCACCACTGTCATCATCATGTGTAGCATCACCCTCATTGCATTCATCATCACCAATCATCATCACCAATCATCATCATCACCAATCATCATCACCAATCATCACCAATCATCACCATCACCACCACCATCAATGCTCGTGTCGCGTGGGTCAAGAGGCGAGACGCACGGGGGAGAGGACACACGGGGGGGGCGAGGGGGGGGCGGGGGGCGAGGGGGGGGCGGGGGGCGAGGGGGGGGGCGGGGGGCGAGGGGGGGGGCGGGGGGCGGGGGCGAGGGGGGGGCGGGGGGCGAGGGGGGGGGCGGGGGCGAGGGGGGGGGGGCGGGGGGCGAGGGGGGGGGGGCGGGGGGCGAGGGGGGGGGGGCGGGGGGCGAGGAGGGGGGGGCGAGGGGGGGGCGAGGAGGGGGGGGCGAGGGGGGGGGCGAGGAGGGGGGGCGAGGGGGGGGGCGAGGAGGGGGGGGGCTAGTAGGGGGGGGGCGAGGAGGGGGGGGCGAGGGGGGGGCGAGGAGGGGGGGCTAGTAGGGGGGGGCGAGGAGGGGGGGGGGGGGGCGAGGAGGGGGGGCGAGGAGGGGGGGGCGAAGAGGGGGGGAGGGGTGGGGGCTAGGAGGGGGGGGGGCGAGGAGGGGGGGGGGCGAGGAGGGGGGGGGGCGAGGAGGGGGGGGGGCGAGGAGGGGGGGGGCGAGGAGGGGGGGGCGAGGAGGGGGGGGGCGAGGAGGGGGGGGACCGGTCCCACCAGTCCCACCGGTGGGACTGGTCCCCCCCCCCTCGCCCACCCCTCACCCCCCCCCCTCACCCACCCCTCACCCCCCCCTCACCCCCCCCCTCACCCCCCCCTCACCCCCCCTCACCCCCCCCTCACCCCCCCCTCACCCCCAGGTGGTGTCGGGGGGTGACCGATCTCGTTTCTTCCTCTTCGATGCACACTGGACCGCCCTCGCCCTCCTTTCAGCCGAGCGGCTGCTCAAAATAGAAACGGAAACGTAGCTCAGCTCCCCCTCCCTAGCCCCCCCCCCCCGCCCACTTCGAGCCAGTGGTGGACATTCCACATTCCTATGGCGGTTTGGCGAGACGAACAAAGACGGTGGTGGCCACTGCATCGCGCGGCGCTTTCAGATGCGCCTCTGCGGCCGTCTGGAACGCTCTTCTTTCAGATATGAGGAAGCCACGGGAGCTATGCACCTTTACATCATCATCATCACCATCTAGATTGACACTCGTTTCTTTAGAAGTTATTTTTGTGTTGAGTTTCTTGTCCTTCCGCCGTACCTCCGATTTGCACGGTTGGCTCCGTACGGTGCGAATACAACATACACACAGACTCACACAGAGACACAGCCTCACACAGAGACACACACAGACTCACACAGAGACACAGACTCACACAAAGACACATAGCCTCACACAGAGACACAGACTCGCACAAAGACACATAGCCTCACACAGAGACACAGACTCACACAGAGACACACAGACTCACACAGAGACACACAGACTCACACAGAGACACAGACTCTCACACAGACACAGACTCACAAAGACACACAGACTCACACAGAGACACAGAGACTCGCACAGAGACACTCACACAGAGACACAGACTCACACAGAGACACAGACTCACACAGAGATACTCACACAGACTCACACAAAGACACAGACTCACACAGAGACACAGACTCACACAGAGACTCACATAAAGGCTCAGACTCACACAAAGACACAGACTCACACAAAGACACAAAGACTCACTCAGAGATAGACTCACACATATATACACAGCCTCACACAGAGATCCAGAGACTCACACAGAGACACTCACACAGATACATAGACTTACACAGAGACACAGACTCACACAGATACACAACGATTCACACAGAGACACAAATACTCACACAGATACAGAGACTCACACAGACTCAGACGGAGATACAGACTCACACAGACACACAGACTCACACAAACACATAGACTCAAAGAGATTTACAGACTCGTACAAGACCCTCGGACTCACACAAGAGAGGGACCGCATACCGCCCTTGTTATGGTACTGTCGAAGGGCCTTTACCCTGAAATGTCCCCTATTATATAATAACGAGCTTGTTTGCCCGTCCAAGGACGGGTGTAGATTGCATTAAATCTGAAAATCAAATAGAAAAATTGTTCAGCTCATGATTATTAATGAGGGAGGGGGGGGGGGGAGTTGCCCAATGTGGAGTGACGTCACCCGCTCATGGTTATTGTGGAGGGGTGCAGCATATGGAGTGACGTCACCGGCTCAAGGTTATTGTGGAGGGGCGCGGCATGTGGAGTGACGTCACCCCCTCATGGTGATTGTGGAGGGTGCGGCATGTGAGTGACGTCACCGGCTCATGATTATCAATGAGGGGAGAAGTGTGGCATGTGGAGTGACGTCACCCCCTCATGGTGATTGTGGAGGGTGCGGCATGTGAGTGACGTCACCGGCTCATGATTATCAATGAGGGGAGAAGTGTGGCATGTGGAGTGACGTCACCCCCTCATGGTGATTGTGGAGGGGTGCAGCATATGGAGTGACGTCACCGGCTCATGGTTATTGTGGAGGGGCGCGGCATGGGAGTGACGTCACCCCCTCATGGTTTTTGTGGAGGGGTGCAGCATATGGAGTGACGTCACCGGCTCAAGGTTATTGTGGAGGGGCGCGGCATGTGGAGTGACGTCACCCCCTCATGGTGATTGTGGAGGGGTGCGGCATGTGAGTGACGTCACCGGCTCATGATTATCAATGACGCGAGGGGTGCGGCATGTGGAGTGACGTCACCCCCTCATGGTTATTGTGGAGGGGTGCAGCATGTGGAGTGACGTCACCGGCTCATGATTATCAATGGCGCGAGGGGTGCGGCATGTGGAGTGCGCGACCTTATTGTGCATTCGTGTAAATTTCCACGCGTGCATGAATATTAATACGGGGGGGGGGGGGGGGGGGGCTCTTTTGCAGTGACGTCACGCACGCATGTCGCACTGTGCTGCGTAGATTTATTTTTAAATCCTTTATATTAAGTTCACTTGCGCGCTTGCTTGCTTGCGCGCTTACGACCGTGCAAATCTTTCGGTCGTTTTTTAACCCACTTCCCGTGATCCAATCGAGCTGACATTTTGCACACAGACTCGTTGTGCGTGACAATTAATGTTCGTGAAATTCTTTTTCCCAAAATTTTACACTTTTTAGGACTAAAATATTATATTTAATTACCAATTGCTTAATGGTGCCATGCAATCATCTGACCCATAGGTGGCAGCCATCTCAAGCCAGAGGACGAGAGGACTCTAGCCGCCACGTATATAAAGGATTTAGAGTGAAAAACTTTGTTTTTACGGGTTATACTTGTTTACCGCCACTTTCTGTCAAGAAACGTCATAACTTGAAGCGACTTTGCGTGATAAATTATTTCATTCAGCTCGACCTTCCTCTGCGTTCGTGTAAAAATCCACCATTTCATGAATATTAATGAGGGGGGGGGGCTCATGTAGAGTGACGTCACTCGGGGGGGGTGGGCCTCATATGGAGTGACGTCACTCGGGGGGGGCCTCGTGGAGTGACGTCACTCGGGGGGGGGTGGCCTCGTGGAGTGACGTCACGCGGGGGGGGGCCTCGTGGAGTGACGTCACGTGGGGGGGTGGGCCTCATGTGGAGTAACGTCACGCGCGGGACGGACAGACATTTCTGGGTGATTACAGTCGGTAATGTTGTTAGCAAGGCCACAAAGTGGCTGGCGAGTTCTGTGATGAGAGTTGGTTTCGTCTTATTGCCGTACGCGCTATGAGAAGGCAGGCGTGCAGTCCGTGTCTAGTCGCTGCTGGTTTATTCCAGGATGTTTCTGTTGCGCGTCGTCGCTTTAAGATGTTTCTCTGTTCATATTGAGTTTGTTGCGGTTGCACCCGACTCAAGAGCCACGTGGCTCACAGGGATATATTTTTTTCTAGATTTGAAGCTTTCGTGACTGCAATGATTCATATTCTTAGGTTTTTTTCGGTAAAGTCACGTAGGTGAAAAATTAAAATTAATAAAAGTAAAATAAAAATATAATAAAAATCACGACGTTTCGGAGGCAACACGAGCCTCCGTCTTCAGGGATATTCCTCATAAATACAACTTGGAACTTGAACCGCGCTACGAACCTGGCTGACCCAAGTTCGATCCCCGCTCACGGCCAACGCCAGTGACGATTATCTGAACCGGACCGGGGCCTTCACTAGGTTGACTCGGCCTCAAATGAGTAGCTGGTACGCTGGGGAGACAAAGGCGGCCGGGCGTGGTGCTGGCCACCCCCTCGTGTGCCGCACCGGCCTTCATGGGCGCTCGCTAACAGCACTTGCCCCAACAGTCCGCTACAGGCTACACGGGGGATCTTTGTCTTTGTAGGTTGGTCGAAGGCCACATTCCTCTTGCGTTCAAAGGCATGAAGAGTGGAACGACGCCGGCATCTCTAGACCACGAAGGACTGGCTAGCAGAGGTCGCACGGGGGGGAGACGATGCCTCCGATAAGAGAGGTCAAAGCAACTCGCACGGCAGAGTCGCCGGTGCCGAGTAGCCGCACGAGACATTCGCCTCGCTGCTGCGGGGCTCAGCAAGTGACATCAGGGAGGAGGGTGCGGGAATCACACCCCCTCCAACCCCCCCTCTACCCCCCCCACCGCCCTCCCTCACCCCCCCTCCACTACCCCCCTCCACCCCCCCTCCACCACCCCCTCTACACCCCCACCGCCCTCCCTCACCTCCCCTCCACCCCCCTCCACCGCGCCCCCTCCACCGCCCCCCCCCTCCACCCCTTCCTCCACCGCCCTAGAGGTGATTATAATTATTATATATCGCATCATCCTCCTCATTATCATCATCATCCTCACCATCCTCCTCATCCTCCTCCTCCTCATCATCCTCCTCTTCATCATCATCCTCCTCTTCATCCTCATCATCCTCCACCTCATCCTCCTCATCATCCTCCTAATCCTCATCCTCCTCCTCATCATCCTCCTCATCCTCCTCATCATCCTCCACCTCCTCATCCTCCTCCTCATCCTCCTCATCCTCCTCCTCCTCACCATCCTCCTCATCCTCCTCTTGCCACTAATCCGCATCATCGTCGTTGCGGCTCACGGTCTCGAGCATCTAACGCTCTAGATGGGGAGGGGCGTTCACAAAATGCAGCCGCTGCTGCTAGACAGCTCCGTTAGTAGTTTACCTTTCTGCAACATCGCGTTGCCGCTCGAGTTACATTTCAACAAAACGTGGAACGTAAGTGAAATCATTTTCATGAAGAAAAAAATATATTATTCAAACCGCGTTTTAAATAACTTGTTGTTCTGTCACACTGTCGTTGAAAACAATGTTTTACACACCACACCAGGTGGCCATTTCAGTCCGAGTCGCCATAGGGGAGGCCCAGGACAGTTTCGGATAATCGTCACTGGCGTCAATTGGCCATGAGTTGAAATCGTTCTCGGGTCACCAGGTTCGTAGCACAGCGCGCGCTAACCGCTGCGCCACCGCTCCCCGGGACACTACCACGCACAGCTTCGTCCCATAACAGTCGAGCAGATATTTGCGATGCTCAGATAATTTTCAATTTTCGTCGCTGGACTCCGGCCAAAATTACCGCAGAACCGCATTTTTGCACGATGTTTTCATCACATTCTCAGAACGTTTTTAGAGATAAAAATAATTGAATATCCCCCCTCATTCCCCATAATTTGAATAGCATTGCCGTGACGTCAGGAGGCTTGACGAAATCCCGAGGAGCCGTGCCCCTGGAAGTGGTTATCACAGAGCTAGCTTTGAGAACCCCCTTTCAAAGTTCACGCGATCCCTGCCTGGTCCAACTCTCGTCTGAGGGGGCTGCACCTTCCCCACTCGCAGTGGTTCACCGTTGACAGTCACGTGGCTTTATTTTGGTGATTTCGAAAAGTGTATTGGTTTAGCCACGTTTGTTTGTTGTAGTACAGAGTTAGACTGATGGCCTTAATCTAAGTTGTCTTGTGGTTGTTGTTGGTTGTTTGACTTGCATCCCACTGGGATTTTTGCACACAAGCGTTGGTGTACGGTGATTTTTTTTCTGCAATGTTTTGCTGTCTTTTCGTTGGATTTTCTGTTTGCACTCAGTCACATATTCACTTTAAGATGTTTTTTGTTCATGTTTTTTGTTTGTTGCGGTTGCACCCGATTCAAGAGCCGAATGGCTCACAGGGCTATACCTAATACATGAACTTGAACTTGAACACACCAACGTTGTGGCTTCAACACACCGGTGGGCTAAAGCAGTGAACTATTTGTCTTTGTCAACGTGACACATTTTTACTGATTGGCCGTGTCGGGTGGTGGAGGGTTACGACACATAAATAAACGCGATCTAAACCCAAAAACGTTGATTATGAATAACATTGGTCGCGAAAGCCTACGTGTTAAACACACCAACGGATTTCTGTTTCGTTTCTTTTGTTTTATGGCGGCTACTAGAGGCCTAAATGAGGTTTTCCCCGCAGGACCACCGGTCTCTCTCGCCGTGATCGGGCGAGGAGCTGCTCAGTGATCCGGGAGAGCCTCGGAGTCGAGCCGCCGCTGCCGCTCCTCCTGCGGATCGAGAGGAGCCAGTGGAGGTGGTGTGGGCACCCAGTAAGGATGTTACCCCTCCCCCCCACCCCTAGTAGACTTCCCCTGGACTTTCTACCGGGCAGCAGCAGTGTCGTAGTGTCTGGTGTAGTAGTGTTTAGTGTATAGGTGTGTATAGTGTAGTAGTGTACTGTGTAGTAATGTATAGTGTAGTGTAGTAGTATGTAGTGTAGTAGTGTATAGTGTAGTGTAGTAGCGTATAGTGTAGTGTAGTAGTGTATAGTAGTATCTAGTGTAGTGTGTAGTGTAGTAGTGTATAGTGTAGTGTAGTAGTGTATAGTGTATATTAGTATTTAGTGTAGTGTATAGTGTAGTGTGTAGTGTATAGTGTATAGTAGTATATAGTGTAGTGTATAGTAGTGTAGTAGTATATAGTGTAGTAGTATATAGTGTAATGTATAGTAGTGTAGTAGTATATAGTGTAATGTATAGTAGAGTATAGTGTAGTGTATAGTGTAGTGTATAGTGTATTGTAGTAGTGTATAGTATATATTAGTATATAGTGTAGTGTAGTAATGTAGTGTATAGTGTAGTGTATGGTGTAGTGTATAGTGTAGTGTATAGTGTATAGTAGTATATAGTGTAGTATATAGTGTAGTGTATAGTAGTGTAGTGTAGTAGTATATAGTGTAGTGTATAGTAGTATATAGTGTAGTATATAGTGTAGTGTATAGTAGTGTAGTGTAGTAGTGCTTGAGTCCGTTGCCAGGGAAAGGGAGGTGTGGACTGCCACATCCCTCGCCAGGACAAGCGGACTGAGCGACGAACTCACTTTTTATTTATTTCTGTATAAATCTCAGAGCTGAATTTTATCCACATTAAGTGCAGAGCCAAACTGCACGTGATGGGGGGTTAGAGACAATGAACTCGGCACACTTGCAAACTCGGTCTAATCACAACTCACGTCCATGTATCAGTCTGTGGATGTCTATGGCAGTCAGTGGATCTATATACAGCATCAGTAAGTTGGGCTCTGCGTGCGTATATGGATGTCTATGAGTCTATGGGTCTCTGTGTGAGTTTGTGGGTCTCTTATGTGAGTCTGTGGATCTCTATGCCAGCCAGTTGGGTCCTATGTGAGTTTGTGGGTCTCTATGAGAGTCTATTGGTCTCTATGTGTGTACAGTATTTTGAACTTCTTTTACACTCTACGTAGCCAATCGTGCTCATGGGAGGTGCGAAGGAAGGACCGCAAACTAAACGCAAAAAGCAGCTGTGAGAAAATGAGTTTGTCAATCGAGATGATTTAAAAGTGCAGAGCTCCGGTGGCTTCCTAATATCAGAAGGAAGAGCGTTCCAGACGGCCGCAGAAGCGCATCTGAAAGTGTACGATGCGGTAGCTGCTTTAATTTAACTCACTCTGTTGTTGTATCCTCAAATCTTGTAACTCAATTTTAACCCACTTCCCAATGTGGTATCGACTGCAAACTTGGTGTGCTTGTGTCATACTGATGATAATACTATATTCTATCATAAAAAAAAATTATCAACATATTTTTAAACATTCTTTTTTATTATGTTATGTTTCGGGTTGGGACTCACTGTCCACGCTCAACTGACGTTGGCTGTAATTGGCTACGGTCCCTTACGTTATGGCAAGCCTCGGGACCACTTCCTGGAGTCGTGGAGTTCTTCCATTACTAGTATGATACATTTCATTTAAGCGTGTTTTTACTTTTTTTATATTACTTATTCGATGGTTAGCAGGCAAAAGCCGCTGTTGCTGCTGCGAGGATGACCCCCGGAGTTTGCGCGATGATGGTTTCTGCTCCTCGACGAGACGATCGAGCTGTTGCGGTAACCGTGGTTCATTTGTGGCGAGCACCTTTTGGGGGTCTCCACGCAGGTCAATGTTGACCGGCAAGAGACCCGCCATTGAAACTCGCCACCGATCGAGGACCCCGCTTGAATTTAAGGTGGCCTGCGTGGGTCGCCGAGACTGACCCCCCCCCCGACCCACCAGCTACCGCGCATAGGTCGAATTCCTGCGGCCCCAAGCCTCATTGTTATCCTGACCCCGTCTCACCGTGGAATTCAAACATTGGGCGTTGCACGGCGGTAGTTGCAAGCGGTGGTGCAGCGGTTAGCGCGCTGCGCTATGAACCTGGCGACCCGGGTTCGATTCCCGCTCACGGCTAACACCAGTGACGATTATCTGAACCGTTCCTGGGCCTCCCCTAAGTCGACTCAGCCTTAAATGAGTACCTGGTGCGGTATGTAAACATCGCCACTGGGGAGACAAAGGCGGTCGGGCGTGGTGCTGGCCACCCACCCCCTCGTTCGTGTACCGTTCCGGGCTTCATAGGTGCTCGCTAACAGCACTTGCCCCTACAGTCTGTTAAGGCTATACGGGGGATCTTTGTCTTTTTTGTGGGGAACGGTGGCGGAGCAGTTAGCACGCTGCGCTGCGAACACAGCGACCAAAGTTCGATTTCCGCTCACGGCCAACACCGGTGAAGATGATCTGAACCGGTCGTGGGCCTCTCCTAGGTCAACTCGGCCTCAAATGAGTACCTGGTGCGGTGTGTAAACATCGCCACTGGGGAGACAAAGGCGGCCTGGTGGGGTTGCTGGCCACCCACCCCCCCCCCTCGCGTGCCGTGCCGGCCTTCATAGGTGCTCGCTAACAGCACTTGCCCCGACAGCCTGTTAAGACTATACGGGGGATCTTTGTCTTGTGTATGGTGATGATCATTCCACTTCCTTGAGCATGTCGTTTGTGATAGCCTGCTAAGCCAGGTGGTCGCTTCTTTAAACAAGAGCCACATACCTCAGTGGGGCCTTACCCTGGTAAAATAAAAAATAAAAAATTGCATCTGCACTTCTCTCAAAGTGCACCTGGCCTGGCACAGTCGTCACCGTCATTGCTTTCATGGCTTTATTTTGGTGATTTCGAAAAGTTTTTTGGTTTAGCCATGTTTGTTTGTTGTAGTACAGAGTTAGACTGATGGCCTTAATCTAAGTTGTCTTATGGTTGTTGTTGTTGTTTGACTTGCATTCCACTGGGATTTTTGCACACAGCGTTAGTGTACGGTGTTTGTTCTGCAATATTTTGCTGTCTTTTTTTGATTTTCTGTTTGCACTTAGTCACATATTCACTTTAAGATGTTTTTTGTTCATGTTTTAGTTTTTTTGTTTGTTGCAGTTGCACCCGATTCAAGAGCCGAATGGCTCACAGGGCTATACCTAATACATGAACTTGAACTTGAACCGTCACTTAGGGGCGAATGGCGGGTATTGTTATTGGCGTGTCTCCGTGTCTCTACGCGTGTCTCTCTCTCTCTACTGCCTCCGTCTCACACGCCACGAGCTGCAGCGATCGGCTCGACGAATCGACCGAGGACATTCGTCGCCTGTCGTTGTCGTCGTTTTGTTGTCGCTCGCTCGCTCGCTCTTACAAACGCGACCGCCGTATACTCGCACGGCACGGGCAACAAACCCCGGAGCAGCAGCATGGCCCCAACTCAAATTCGCGATTCCTGAAAAAGCTCGTGCCGCGAAACGTCGGACATCGTGCCGTCACGGCAACGCGCGCGCGCTACGAGCCGACAACACGATGGGCAGCGAACGTACTCCCTCGTGGGCCTCCTCTTCCTACTCCCTCTGCACCACCTCCTCATCCTCGACATCCTCTTCCTCCTCTTCCGCTCCCATCCTCTGCTTGCCACCTCTTCCTTGATTCCACCTCCTACTTCTACTCATCCTCCTACCCCTCCTCCTCCTTCCCACCCCTCTTCCTGCTCATCCCACCTCCCCCTCCTCATGCTTCCCCTCCCTTCTTTATTCTCTTCCTTGATCTCCTCCACCACCTCCTCATACCGATCCTCCTCCCTCACCTCATCCTCCTCCTCCCTCCCTCTCCTCCCCCTCCTCCCTCCCTCACCTCATCCTCCTCCCCCTCCTCCCTCCCCTCCTCTCCTCCCCCTCCTCCCTCCCTCCCTCACCTCATCCTCCTCCCCCTCCTCCCTCCCCCCCTCTCCTCCCCCTCCTCCCTCCCTCCCTCACCTCATCCTCCTCCCTCCCTCTCCTCCCCCTCCCCCCGACGGCCCCCGCAGGTCTCCCGCGTGACGCGAGCAGCGAGCACCGGGGACCAGTTCCTCCACGTGCTCCACCATGGCGCCCGTGCCCCTCGCAGTTGGAGGAGACCAGTTCGAGCCCTGGGTGGTGATGGTGGTGGCGCTGCTGGGAGCGCTCGCATCGCTGGGGATGGTGCTGTTTACATGCATCGACTGCTTAAGGTGAGCGGTGCAGTGGGCGAGTGGTGCAGTGGGTGTGGGCTGCGTGAGTGTTTCTGCAGGCGAGTGTTTCGGGCAGGCGAGTGTTTCTATGGGTGTGGGCTGAGTGAGTGGTTTTGCAGGCGAGTGTTTCTGCGGGCGAGTGTTTCTGTGGGTGTGGACTGAGTAAGTGGTTTTGCAGCGAGTGTTTCTGTGGGTGTGGGCTGAGTGAGTGTTTCTGCAGGCGAGTGTTTCTGTGGGTGTGGGCTGAGTGAGTGGTTTTGCAGGCGAGTGTTTCTGTGGGCGAGTGTTTCTGTGGGTGTGGGCTGAGTGAGTGGTTTTGCAGGTGAGTGTTTTTCAGGCGAGTGTTTCTGTGGGTGTGGGTTGAGTGAGTGGTTTTGCAGGCGAGTGTTTCTGTGGGTGTGGGATGAGTGAGTGGTTTTGCAGGCGAGTGTTTCTGCGGGCGAGTGTTTCTGTTGGTGTGGGCTGAGTGAGTGGTTTTGCAGGCGAGTGTTTCTGCGGGCGAGTGTTTCTGTGGGCGAGTGTGGGAGGAGAGAGATGCTGTCTTGGTGGCACTGCGACTTAAATACGGAACAGATTTGATTTCAGCCCATGTCGTCATTCGCGCCAATGGGGAGCTCATCGGTAAACAAAATCGTGAGCCGATCACCTCCATTTCCATTGCAGTGTCCTTCACGTAAAAAAAAAACCAATTCATTTATCTTCACACATTCCATCAGACACACACACACGCCCTTCCTTGTGGGAGTGCATCATTTCAGCAGAAATTGTTCAATGCAAGAAAAACTCTGGACCAGAGGTCGCAAATGGGTTTTGATTCCTTACCCGTACCCGTACCCGGCCGCACCAGGGTCGCAAACAGGTACCCGTACCCGGCCGTACCCGTACCCTACCCGTACCAGGCCGGGTACGGGTATCGGGTACCTGATTGCGACCTCTGGGATGAAGCCATGTTGCAGGCGCGGGTGGGTTGATTCTAGGAACTTGAATTGTGAGAAGAGACAAGATGTTTGGAAATGAGTGACAAACAGTTACTCACCAGTGACTCACGGCCTACCCGTACCCGTACCCGGCCACACCAGAGTCGCAAAGGAGTACCCGTACCCGGCGTACCCGGCCAGGTACGGGTAGCTGGGTATCGGGTAGAGTACGGGTATCGGGTACCCGGTTACGACCTCTGCTCTGGACTGTTTTTCAACATTCAGTGTCTCATCAGAAGTCAGACTCGCTTGACTCAAAGCTGGTGAACTGCCCAGATGTATATTGGGAAGGGCCCTTGCTCCGTGTTGGACATTGGTCCCAGTTCTACGCAAACCCCCACTACACAATACACAACACAAAATCATTAGCATCGTGCATACACACTCCGAGAAGGCGTTGCAGCTGATGGGATGTGTACATTTTTCTTTTTTATGTATTCATTTACTTATTACACGGAGGGAGATGAGGACTCCGGTTCGGTGAGTCACCCTGTAACGTAATTTCCGCAATGGGCACATCGCATCCAGTGGAGCTGTCGCTGCAGTCGACACAGCGGCCCGGAAACATAAATTTGGGTGGAACGTGAATCCTAGATTTGAAGCTTTCGTGACTGCAAGCATTCATATTCTTAGGTTTTTTCGGTAAAGTCACGTAGGTAAAATAAACGTCGTGATTTTTATTTTATTTTTATTTTACTTTTATTCATTAAAATGTTTTACCTACGTGACTTTACCGAACAAACCTAAGAATATGACAGTAACGAGAATATATTCTTGGTTCTTTCGCTAAAGTCACGTAGAAGGGAAATAATAAAATAATAAAAATAAACATAATAAAATAAAAATTATCACGACGTTTCGGCCACAACGCAAGCAGCCGTCCTCCGGTGAAGAAACAGAGCTGTCAGAAAGACAGCGTCCTAATGTAAAGTAACAGCGCCCTTAAAAAAGTTACGAGAATGGCGTGATAGAACGACCTTCCTTTACGCGTATGTACGTACGTGTATGTACATATGTATGTATGTGTGTGTATGTACGTGTAGTACTTTTATGCATGTCAATATTTGTATATATGTGTACGTGTTTGTACGTGATAATTGGTTTTTTACCCTTCTATCTGGCAACAAAACTGGCACCTTTCTTACGAGGAGTCATGTTTGCATAGACCACAATACCTGCAGTCATAATGCAAACAAAAGACATAACTCTGATAATGTATGCACTGTCCTTGAAGTTGATTGGTCCACACCCGAGACAGCTTTCCTTAGAGCCTAGTCTCACATGGGTTGGACCAGATGACGCCAAAAGGCGCACAACTCAAAGACAATGCACCATCAGAGTATGAGAGCTCGGGGTAAGCATTTACACCATTGGTACCTCATTTGCCAGTAAAAAAGATGATATATTTTTTTGTACGTGTTTGTATGTGTATGTGTGGGGATTGTAGTGTAGCGGTTCGTGCGCTACGCAACGAACCTGGTGACCCGAGTTCGATTCCCGCTCACGGCCAACACCAGTGACGGTTATCTGAACTGGTCCTGGGCCTCCCCTAGGTCGACTCGGCCTCAAATGAGTAACTGTGTCAACATCACCACTGGGGAGGCAAAGGCGGTCAGGCGTGGTGCTGGCCACCCACCCCCTCGTGTGACAGCACTTGCCCCAACAGTCTGTTAAAGCTATATGGGGGATTTTGTCTTTTGCAGCGGTTATGAACTACAATATTTCTATTTTACCAGATTAGGGCCACTGAGCTATACAGCGACCTGGCCACAAATGATAGCTCAACGATGTGGCTTATCACGTGGACATTTATAGCAGTCGCCAAATACTCTAAACGCGCGATGTCGATTCCAAATGTGGAGGGGGGGAAAACAACGGAGAACCCGGTGAAAAATCCACGCGACCACGGGGAGAGAGACACCGCAGACTCCAAATATACAGCAGCAGCGGGCGTCGGGGTCGGGGTCAAACCCACGACCTCCCGCATACGGGGCGAGGGAGTTAACATCTCCTAGCCACCGTGGCAGCGCCGCTTGTGAGATGCGTGCGTGTGTCCCACCTCCGTCTCGTGCAGGGACAATGATGGCAATTCGGACCGGATCAGCCTGAAGGTACGGAGATGCAGTGTGTACATCACTTACCACCACCACCACCATCATCGTCGTCATCGGCCACTTATTATTTTTCTTGTTCCTCAACATCATCAGCAGCCATGGTCGATCCACTGTTGGATGAGGGCCTTCTCTAAAGCCACCGCTGCCGCCTCTCCCAATCCTGTGACGTAACGATCTGCCCAGCATGTCATGGGTTGCCTCCTGCCATAAGAATGTGGAATTTCCACGACTTGTTTCAAAACTGTCAAAGTTACGTGTGGGTACCCCCACCGCCGCATTGCTTGTTTGAACATAATCATCTTAATTATTATCATCAGCAGCAGCAGCTTCCATCATCTTCTGCATCATCATCAGCAGCAGAAGCAGTGTCATCTCAGCTTCTTCATCATCATCAGCAGCAGCTGCTTCATCTTAATCATCATCCTTAGCCGCAGCATTGATCATCATCATCATCATCAACAGCATCATCACCACCACCATCATCTTCATTGCCACCATCATCACGATCAACAATATCTCATGTCTGCAATAGGCACCGCAGCTGAGGCCGGCAAAGAACGGCACGGTTCATGAGAATCGGCAGCAGCAGCAGCAGCAGCAGAAGCATCGTCAGCAGCAGCAGCAGCAGCCGCAGCAGCAGCAGAAGCATCGTCAGCAGCAGCAGCAGCAACCAGACAGAGAAGACGGAAGCTCCTCGCAGAGAGGGACCGGTGGGTGAGCGAGTGAGCGACGGTGGTTATCGTCGTGAGCGCTACATCGCGTTGCATTTTTCACGGCCATCGCCGAGCTCCGGGTCCCCATGAGGCCCAAAAGTGCCCAGCGGCCAGTCACAAACAGCATCGTTGAACGGAAAAGTAACCGCCCCCCCCCTGTTGCTGGGAGACCCTGGGACTCGGAGACACAAAGAGGCCGGGACCAAACACGATGACGCCAGCCATGCCTGTCCCTGGGCGTCCCCTAGGTCAGCTCAGCCTTAAATGCAATGGGGACCTGCTGCGGTGTGTAGAACGTCGACACCGGGCCGGGCGCTGCGTGGTGCTGGCCGTACCCGCCCCGTCATGTGCCGTTGCTGGCCTTAATAGGTGCTCGCGCTGACTGCACTTGCCCCCGTCGATCTCTTGAAGGCTATATGGGGGATCTTTGTCTTTGTGAGCAATGGTGGGGCACGGTGGGGAGCGGCAGTGCAGCGGTTATCGCGCCGCGCTCCGAACCCGGCGGGCCGAGTTCCATACCCGCTCACGGCCAATGTCATTGACGATTATCTGAACCGGTCCTGGGCCTCCCCTTGGGCTGAGAAAACATGCACCTGGTGCGGTGTGTGAACAGTATCAGCACCGAGCATGGTGGTGCTGGCCATACCGCCCACCGCCCTGTCGTGCGCCGTGCCGGCCTTCATGGGTGCTGCTCGCTAACATTCCTTGCCCTACGGTCTCTTAAAGCCTTTTTGGGGGATCTTTGTCTTTTGTGCGCGTCTGCGTGTGTCTGCGTGTGTGTGTTTGCGTGCGTGTGTCTGCATGTCTGCGTGTGTTTGCGTGCGTGTGTGTGTCTGCGTGCGTGTGTTTGCGTGCGTGTGTGCGTGCGTGTGTTTGCGTGCGTGTGTCTGCGTGCCTGCATGTGTGTCTGCGTGTGTGTCTGCATGTGTGTCTGCGTGTGTGTCTGCGTGTGTGTCTGCGTGTGTCTGCGTGCATGTGTGTCTGTGTGTGTCTGCGTGCGTGTGTGTCTGCCTGTCCGTCTGCGTGTGTGTCTGCGTGTGCGTCTGCGTGCGTGTGTGTCTGCGTGCGTGTGTGTGCGCGTCTGCGTGTGCGTCTGCGTGCGTGCGTGTATCTGCGTGTGCGTCTGCGTGCGTGCATGCAGCACCGGGGAGCAAGAAGCAGAGCAGTACGCTGGTTCGCCAGTCACCGCCGTCGGCGGCATTGCCACTGCCGTCGGCGAACAGCGCCACTGGGCAGCCAAGCGTCGGTGCAGCTGATGAGCAACTGTACGAGGAAGTTGCCGAAGAATCGATGTACGATGCTGTCACGGAAGAGGGCGATCCTGGGGATGACGGAGTTGGTGGTGGCGTTGGCGGTGGCGTTGGTGGTGGCGTTGGCGGTGATGTTGGTGGTGGCGTTGGCGGTGGCGTTGGCGGTGGTGGTGGTGGCGGTGGGCGTGGCGGCAGCAGCAAAAAAGGTGGCGGTGGATATGAAAGCGGCGTCGGCACTCCGAACGGGAAGAGCAAAGAAGCCACTGTGAGTAGAGAGACGAACAAAGACAAAGATCCCCCATATAGCCTTCAACAGACTGTCGGGGCAAGTGTTGTTAGAGAGAGAGACAAACACACACACACGCGCAGATAGACGAACAGAGACGGGTGACCCCGTGTCTCTGTGACCCCGTGTCTCTGTGACCCCGTGTCTCTGTGACCCTGCATGTCCATGCCTGTGTCCCCGTGACCCCGTGACAGCGTGTCCCTGTGTCTCGATGTTCACATATCTGCGTCTCCGTGTCCCTGTGTCACCATGCCATCGTGTCTCCATGTCCACATGTCCCCGTGTCCCCATGTCTCTGTGTCTCCGTGTCCCCATGTCCCTGTGTGTCTGTGCCACCATGTCTCCGTATTCACATTTTCCTGTGTCCGTGTCCCCATGACCCCATCGACATGTCTCTTTGTCCATATATCCCTGTGTCCCCACGTCCCTGTGTCCCTGTTTCTCAGTGTCCCTGTGTCCCCGTGCCCCCATGTCCCCGTGTCTCCGTATCCCCGTGTCCCCACAACTCTGCGTCCCCGTATGCCCGTAGTGTCCCCGTGTCCCCGTGTCCCCAAGTCCCCGTGTCCCCAAGCCCCCGTGTCCCCAAGTCCCCATGTCCCCGTGTCCCCAAGTCCCCGTGTCCCCGTGTCCCCGTGTCCCCGTGTCTCCAAGTCCCCGTGTCCCCGTGTCCCCGTGTCCCCATGTCCCCGTGTCCCCGTGTTTCCATGTCCCCGTGTCCCCGTGTCTCCGTATCCCCATGTCCCCGTGTCCCCGTGTCCCCGTGTCTCCATGTCCCCACATCTCTGCGTCCCCGTATGCCCGTAGTATCCCCATGTCCCCGTGTCCCCGTGTCCCCGTGTCCCCGTGTCTCCGTGTCCCCGTGTCCCCGTGTCCCCGTGTCCCCGTGTCTCCGTGTCCCCGTGTCCCCGTGTCTCCGTGTCCCCATGTCTCCGTGTCCCCGTGTCTCTGTATCCCCACATCTCTGCGTCCCCGTATGCCCGTAGTATCCCAATGTCCCCGTGTCCCCATGTCCCCGTGTCCCCATGTCCCTGTGTCTCCGTGTCCCCGTGTCCCCATGTCCCCGTGTCCCCGTGTCCCCGTGTCCTCGTGTCCCCATGTCCCTGTGTCTCCGTGTCCCCAGGGTGGAACTGCCTCCGACTTCCTGCACCGGTTCACCGTGCGTGCGGGATCCAGCTACTCACAGGTGCTGCCTCGTGCTGGTGGTGGCGGTGGTGGTGATGGGGGGGTGAGGGGTCGGGCAAAGAACCCCCTCACCCCCCACCACCCCCACCACCCCCCAATTTGTGCTAACGCTAAAGCATTTTCATTTTATTTTTCACAAGCGGCCTGGCTATCACAAATCATGACGGCTCAACGAAAGTGGCTTATCACCGCGTGAACATTTTTCGTGGCCAAATACAAAAAACGCCCGGCGTCTAGTGCATGTCTACGCGCTGAACCGGCTGTGTTCATGTTTCATCTAACGAGCTGACGAGTAACGATATCTATTTGTTATCTTTTGCTATGACCCCCGTTTACCCAGGAGGAGGGTAAAGCCGGAGGAGCTGGAGAAGAATCCACGCGACCGCCGGGAGAACACGAAGACTCCTGCACACCGGGCGAGGTAGTAAACGTCGCAACATCGCTGGCGCTTTGCTGGTCCATCGCTGGGCGCTCCCGTCGTCGTTGTTGTTGTTGTTGATGTTGTTGTTGATGTTGATGTTGTCGATATTGTTGATGTTGTTGATGTTGTTGATGTTGATATTGTTGATGTTGTTGATGTTTTTGATGTTGTCGATGTTGATGTTGTTGATGTTGTTGTTGATATTGTTGATGTTGTTGATGTTGTTGATGTTGTCGATGTTGATGTTGTTGCTGTTCTTGATGTTGTTGATGTTGATATTGTTGATGTTGTTGATGTTGTCGATGTTGTTGTTGATGTTGTTGATGTTGTCGATGTTGTCGATGTTGTTGTTGATGTTGTTGATGTTGTTGATGTTGTTGATGTTGTCGTTGTTGATGTTGTCGTTGTTGTCGATGTGTCGATGTTGTCGATGTTGTTGATGTTGATGTTGTTGATGTTGTTGATGTTGATGTTGTTGATATTGTCGATGTTGTAGATGTCATCTCGGCGGGGATCGCATTTGGCCGTGGCGGAGACACCGAAACGCCACCACACGGTAGCGACATCCCACACTCACACGGGCTGCGGTGGCTTCATCGTGGCGTGGGGGGGTGGAGTAGTGGTGGGGGGGTGGTGGGGGGGTGGTGGGGGGTGACGTGGGGTGACGGGGGGGGGAAGTGGCGGGGAGGGTGGTCGTTCGCCGCCGACTGGTGACATCGCGACAGTATTCACACCAGGCTGGGTCAAGTTGTAAAGCCACGTGAAGCGTTGAAGGCGCACTGCTGGCAGGAGGTCATGGGAGAGACTCGGGTGCCATGGCTCGACTCAACGAGATGACTGGCAGCTTCACCGCCTGTACTCCCTGCTGCGGCAACTCGCTGCGTTTTATCCGCCCCGGCGCTCTGCTCGTTGTTGCGAGCGTCGCTCCTCTCCGCCCTCCGTTGTTGTTGGAGGGCGATTGCCTCCAACTGCCCAGCAGCAGCAGCGTCCTTCACGAGCCTCCTCCACTGAGGCCGAGCTTGACACTGCCGGTACCGATCATCGGCAAGTCCACTCTGGCGCACGCCGTCCTGTGAACCGTGTCAGCCCACCCCTTCTCTGGGGGGTTTAAACAAGCGTCACTTTGCGTGCCCAACCCCTAGACGCTTGTCCTCACCTCCCGATGCGATTGTCGCGTGCGCGTTGCAGGAGGTGACGGACGAGGTGAACTACCGCACGGTGGAACAGGACCCGTTTCTGACCCCCGAAGAGGTCAGTACTGCACTCTTTTTGACGGCTTGCGGTGGTGTCGGTGCGAAGGTTCAGGGGTTTCACGCCGGCGGGTTCTGTGCCGCGCCTTGATAGGCGCTCGATGAGAGCACGCGTGTCTTGAGAACTGATTGTTGTTTTCTTGGTTCTTTCGGTAAAGTCACGTAGAAGAGAAATAATAAAATAATTAAAATAGAACATGATCAAATACAATTCTCAGGACGTTTCGGCCACAACGCAAGCAGCTGTCCTCAGGTGAAGAACAGGGCTGTCGGAAAGACATTCGGACGCTGAAAGAACCAAGATACTCCTTGGTTCTTTTGGTAAAGTCACGTAGAAGGGAAATAATAAAATAATAAAAATTAAACATTATAGAATACAATTCTCACGACGTTTCGGCCACAACGCAAGCAGCCGTCCTTAGGTGAAGAACAGGTCTGTCGGAAAGACAGCGTCTGAATGAGACGCTGAATGAGACGCTGTCATTCCGACAGACCTGTTCTTCACCTGAGGATGGCTGCTTGCGTTGTGGCCGAAACGTCGTGAGAATTGTATTTTATTATGTTCTATTTTTATTATTTTATTATTTCCCTTCTACGTGACTTTACCGAAAGAACCAAGAAAATGAATCCCTGCAGTCACGAAAGCTTTCAGTCGAAACTGATTGTTGTTGTTGTGTTATCGTTTTTGGCATTCCCCCGCACACCTCGGTTAGCTACGTACGGTGCGAAAGAAATGCAACGTACGTACATGCTCAAAATTCCAAGCTCATGATTTATCTCCGAGACCCCATCTGTGACCGGTCTGGTTCGTCTTGTTACGCAAGAGCTACTCACACTCAACTGTTGAAATGGCAATTTTTTTATTAAAAAAACTTGAATCGTTAAAGAAAAAAATGCAATCGTCATCACGGCCTCCATGGTCAATCGCTCAGCCCTCCACTTGTGTCGTATAGTTGCGTGCGATGGAGTAGGACCATATCCCGAAACGTCACCTGCTGTATATTTTGCCTCGAAGCTACACGGTGTTAATGAGTCGTTTAAAAAAAAATTTTGTTACATTCTATTCTTGCGCAAGATTGCATCAGCAATGCGGTTCAGGATGCACAAGTGAACTTGTTTTGCACCTTTGGCAGCCAACCGTGCTAATCGCAGGTGCGGGGGAAAGACAACAAACCAAACACAAAAGGCAGTTCTAACCTTAAAAAAATAACCCGTAAAAACAAAGTTTTTCACTGTAAATCCTTTATATGCGTGGCGGCTAGAGTCCTTTCGTCCTCTGGCTTGAGATGGCTGCCACCTATGGGTCAGATGATTGTCTGCCAGTATTAAGCAATTGGTAATTAAATATAATAAAAATTTTCCTAAAAAGTGTAAAATTTGGGACATTTTTTTTCACGAAAATGAATTGTCACACACAACGAGTCTGTGTGCAAAATGTCAGCTCGATTGGATCACGGGAAGTGGGTTAAAAACGACCGAAAGATTTGCACGGTCGTAAGCGCGCAAGCAAGCAAGCAAGTGAACTTAATATAAAGGATTTAAAAATAATTTTCAAATTAGTATAGTGGTGTAGTGTATAGCAGTGTAGTGTATAATGTAGTGTATCGTAGTGTACGGTGTAGTGGGGAGCGGTAGTGAAGTGGTTAGCGCGCTGCGCTACAAACCTGGCGACCCGAGTTCGATTCCCGCTCACGGCCAACAACCGGTGGCGATTATCTGAACCGGTCCTGGGCCTCCCCTAGGTCGACTCAGCCTCAAATGACTACCTGGTGCGATGTGTAAAACATCGCCACTGGGGAGACAAAGGCGGCCGGGCGTGGTATTGGCCACCTACCCCCTCGTGTGCCGTGCCGGCCTTTTCGGTGCTTGCTAACAGCACTTGCCCCAACAGTCTGTTACAGGCTATACGGGGGATCTTTGTCTCTTTGGTGTATATAGTGTAGTGTGTATTGTAGTGTATAGTGTATGCACGTTGAAGTTGTTTTGCACTGTACGTAACCAACCACGCTAAGGCGAGGTGCGGGAGAAGGACGCCAAACTAAACACAAAAGGCAGTCTGCTGCCCATGACGAGAGGACTTCACGAGAAAGAGAGTGCGCCTTTTGGCGTCATCTGGTCGAACACCATATGAGACAAGGCTCTAAAGAAAGCTGCCTCTGGTGTGGACCAATCAATTTCAAAGACAATGCATAAATTATCAGAGTATTGTTTTTTGTTTGCATTTGACTGCAAGTATTGTGGTTAATGTAAGCATGATTCCTTCCAAAAGGTGTCAGTTTTGTTTCCAGAAAAAAGGGGAAAACCCCTATTAGAGAAAGAGATAGTTTCGATTTAAAGCTTTCGTGACTGCAGGGATTCATCTTCTTGGTTCCTTCGGTAAAGTCACGTAGAAAGAATTTAATAAAATAATAAAAATAAAACATAATAAAATAATTCTCACGACGTTCAGATTCTGGCTCCTTGACAGACCTGTTTTTCACCTGAAGACAGCTACTTGCGTTGTGGCCGAAACGTCGTGAGAATTATTTTATTATGTTTTATTTTTATTATTTTATTAAATTCTTTCTACGTGACTTTACCGAAAGAACCAAGAAGAAAAAAGAGAGAGTTCTTGTCCTTTTCACCGCATCGAGCGCGTTCAACCTCGCTTCTGTGGCCGTCTGGAACGCCCTCCCTTCTGTGATTAGGTAGCCACTGGATCCATGAAGTTTAAAATCATCATCATCATCTATATTGACAAACTCATTTCTTTAGAACTGCTCTTTGTGTTTCGATTTCAAGCTTTCGTGACTGCAGGGATTCCTATTCTTGGTTCTTTCGGTAAAGTCACGGAGAAGGGAAATAATAAAATAGTAAAAATAAAAAACAAAATTCTCAAGAAAACATTTCTTGCTGTGGTTTTCACACCTGATGATGATTGCTTGTGTTGCAATCGAAACGTCGTGGGAATTTTATAGTTGAATTCTTATTATTTTATTATTTCCCTTCCACGTGACTTTACCGAAAGAAGCAAGAATATGCTTCTTGCGTGTAGTTTATCCTTCCCGCGCACCTTATTAGCGCGTTTGGTTACGTACGGCGCGAAAGAAGTTCAATGTATCTACATAGATTGCTGTTCCTCCTCCATTGAGGAAGTGCTGACTAAAGTGGTTTATTATACGGGGTTGGTTTAGTATGGGTTGCATGGCCACATTGCACTGCTGTGTGTCTTATCATCTAATGTGTATCTGTACAAGTCTATACATATCTCTCTGAGTCTCTATCTCAGTGTGTCTCTATGGGCCCCTACACGTTTCTACGTATCTTCTTGGTTCTTTCGGTAAAGTCACGTAGAAGGGAAATAATAAAATAATACAAATAAAACATAATAAAATACAATTCTCACGACGTTTCGGCCACAATGCAAGCAGCCGTCCTCAGGTGAAGAACAGGGCTGTCGGAAAGACAGCGTCTGAATGAGACGCTGAATGAGACGCTGTCTTTCCGACAGCCCTGTTCTTCACCTGAGGACGGCTGCTTGCGTTGTGGCCGAAACGTCGTGAGAATTGTATTTTATTATTTCCCTTCTACGTGACTTTACCAAAAGAACCAAGAAGATGAATCCCTGCAGTCACGAAAGCTTTAAATCGAAAGTCTCTACCTATCTCTATGGGTCTCCATGTAACTTGACGCACCTCTGTGGGTCTGTGCGACGAAGTACTGATCCGATTTGTAACGTCAGGTTAGGTTAGTGCAATTGGGTGAATCTATTGAGCGATCGGTGGAAATCGGCTGGCCTCCATTACGTTGTGGTGCATCGCGCGCGGGTAAGGAAGCCGGATTTTCAAATCTCCTGCGAGTCGAGTCGAGCGTTCATTTGACCCTTGAACTCGTGCCGACGACGCTGGATTTTAACCTCCAGCGAAGCGTCGTCGCGCGTTCAAAACGTTGCGAGGTCGCCCTCCGTCAACAACGACAAACTTCAAACGTCCACCGGTGGTGCTGCTGCTGCTCCTGCTACAGCACTAATAATACATTTGGGCACTCGCCCACTCACTCCCGACGCGTTTATTAAAATGGGCCCTGTCGCCCAACTTTTCTACCCCCTGCTTTTTGGCTGATGTTGACGGTGTGTACGCGTGCGTCACTACGTGATGTCACGGGCCCGCGCATTGCCTCAATGAAAATAAATATTAAATATGAATAAATAAAAGTCAGCCGTGTCGGGTGGAGGGGAGGGTTTTATGACATAACATTTTCACGCGGTGACCCAACCCAAGAGAAAAGCAATCGCGAACCGGATTTTCCCCGTTTACGAAAGAATTTTTATTTGACCAGATAAGGCCCCGCTGAACTGCGTAGCTCCTTTATCAGAAGCTACGTGGCCGTCAGGAATGACAACTCAACGAAAGTGGCTTCTCATCATCGCGTGAAATCTATCGCAGCAGCCAAATACTCTGAAACGCGCGACGTCGATTCATAAATGTGGAGGTGAAAAACCCAGAGGACCCCGACAAAGATGCACGCGACCACGGGGGGAGAGGGAGAGAGACACGCATGCAAACGCCAAATATACAGCAGGTGTCAGGGTTGGCATCAGAGATCGCAAACGGGTTTTGATTCCTTACCCGTACCCGGCCGCACCAGGGTCGCAAACGACCGGGTACGGGTACGGGTTACCCGTACCCTACCCGATACCCGGCCGGGTACGGGTAACCGGGTATTGGGTAGGGTACGGGTATCGGATACCCAATTGCGACCTCTGGGATGAAGCCATGTTGCAGGCGCGGGTGGGTTGATTCTAGGAACTTGAATTGTGAGAAGAGACGAGACGTTGGGAAATGAGTGACAAACAGTTACTCACCAGTGACTCACGGTCTACCCGTACCCGTACCCGGCCGCACCAGGGTCGCAAACGGGTACCCGTACCCGGCCGGGTACGGGTAGCCGGGTATCGGGTAGGGTACGGGTATCGGATACCCAATTGCGACCTCTGGGATGAAGCCATGTTGCAGGCGCGGGTGGGTTGATTCTAGGAACTTAAACTGTGAGAAGAGATGAGTCGTTGGGAAATGAGTGACAAACAGTTACTCACCAGTGACTCACGGCCTACCCGTACCCGGCCGCACCAGGGTCGCAAACGGGTACCCGTACCCGTACCCGGCCGGGTACGGGTAGCCGGGTATCGGGTAGGGTACGGGTATCGGGTACCCGGTTGTGACCTCTGGTTGGCATCGAACCCACGACCTCCTTGCGAACCAGGCGAGGTTGTCAACATCTCCCAGCCACCACGGCGCCCCAGATTCGCTGACCCCCCCCCCACCCCCACTCGCTCGTTTGCAGATCGAGGCGATGTACACCAAGGTGCGCACGATGAGCCAGCGGTCCAAAGACGATGATGGCGGCGGCGGCGGCGGCGGCGGTGGTGCAGCGTCCCCGCCGATGCGAAGGCTCCAGGGCAACCGGGGCAAGGATTACGCGGAGCCTGGCGAGTACCGTATCAAGGGTGGCGCGGATGGTGGCGACGGCGGCGGCAGTCACAGCCGCACCAATGAGAGCCACGCCGAAGCACATGCGGATTTAACCACGAAAATTTAAGAAGGGCCATTTTAGTGTTCTTATTTGTTTAAACGTTGGAGGGGGAGGGGGGGGGCGATAGAAAACAAACACGTGTACGGTACAACGTCACGTATCCGACTGACCGGCATGTGTCTCTGCCCGGACCAATTAGCTGCCCTCCACTGTAATATCTCCATAGATGTTGACTAACCCAACTTCCTTCATACACACACCACACACGGTGGCCTCGCACCCATTTTCTCTCCCCCAACACCCAGTTGGAGGAGTGTCACGGCGTTGTTTTTATAGCCGTTTTGCGCTTCAGTTTTTTGTCCAGTGACCCTCGTGTGCGTGAAGGTCTGCTGTAGGACTTCGATTCGCACCGAACGTAGCCAAACGTGCTAATCGGAGGTGCGGGGGGACCCCCTTCACTGATTTTCAGAGGGGGGGGGACTTTCGCCGGTAAGACATCATCGGTGTGTGTGTGTGTGAGGGCCGCCACACATGAAACCCACTGGGTGTTTGACAGCAGCACGATGACAATGATGAGGCAGAGGTCGCAAACGGGTTTTGATTCCTTACCCGTACCCGGCCGCACCAGGGTCGCAAACGGGTAGCCGGGTATCGGGTAGGGTACGGGTATCGGGTACCCGGTTGCGACCTCTGTGATGAGGGGTATTGTCCAGGGGGGAGGGGCGGGCGCTAGTGGCCTTGCAATGAAGAATGCTGGTGTCCAGCGTAGGTCATCGCGAGCCGTGAAACCAAAACCGGGGGGGGGGGGGGGGGGCGGCCCAGTAAACGTGCAGACCCTTGCAGCGAACAATGACGTCACAGCGAACGGCGACGTCACGGCGAGCGATGACGTCACGGCGAGCGATGACGTCACGGCGAGCGATGACGCCACAGCGAAACGGTGACGCCACAGAGGCATTTGGAGCCAAGTTTTTAAACACCGGGTGCGGATGGTGGCTGTTAACCGGTAATACAATCACTACCCCTGTGCAAACTGGCCGAATTGTGTGAAATCTACCGGCTGCACAACCGGTCAAATGTTAAGCACCGTAGGCGTATCATATTTTTAACAGCTTGTTGTAATTGTTCTTGTTCTCAGCGTAACCTTGGCTGCCTTGACCAGGCTTCGATGCCTTGGCTCGGCCTGGCTGTGTTGGCTAGGCATGGCTGCCTTGACTCGGCCTAGCGGCCTTGGCTACGACTAGCTGCCTTTACTCGGCTTTGCTATTTTGCCTCTCCCATGAGTGTTCGGATTCGGTTCCCCTAGAAGGTTCCTAGCCTCGTGGAGCGAAACGTCGGACATCGTGCTGCAACAGTTTATATTTTTTTGTACGTGGCTCGCTGACCTCACTGGATTGGCGGCGTTTTTTATTGAATGTGGAGCATTACTCCCCTGCTCGTCGGAGAGTCCGCATAAGGTGACGCACAGGATCGTAATGGATTTTTTTTCCGATTGATTGTTAATGTGATTTTAAACGTTTATTTACAAGCATACTCTAAATGGGTTGTTGGGGTTGTGTCACGAGATGGGAGGAAATACTCCTTGGGAAGTTCTTGTAGTTTAAGATCGCCCGATATTTCGATCCCTCCACTGGATCCCAATCCAATCCATCCACTGGATCCCAATCCAATCCATGATCTATTTGAAGATTTGACTTACCGCCTTCAAGATCCTTTGTGGACCTCACTCCTGTCTGCTCCTCCCCTCCCATCTCGCTCTCCTCCCCTCCACGAACTCTCCTGCCTCTCCCCTCTCATCTCACTCTACTCCCCTCCACGCACTCTCCTACCTCTCCCCTCTCATCTCACTCTACTCCCCTCCACGCACTCTCCTACCTCTCCCCTCTCATCTCACTCCACTCCCCTCCACGCTCCATCCTACCTCTGTGAGCCCAGGATCTCAGTGGTGCCATCCAGGCGCTCTGTAACCCATGGTACCATTAGCGCAATGTTTAGCGGGCAAAGTACTCCTTCCTCTCGCTGGCTGTTGTTATGTTTAACTTGTTGTGCAAGGTTATTGTTCCTGTATATACTCTGAACATATAATGCATTCGTACCATATATTGGTGGGAGTGGTGGCGCAGCGCTATTATCCTACTAACCTGGCCTCCCCGAGTTCGATTCCCAGCCACAGCTAATATCAGTGGGATATCCGAACCGGTTCTGGGCTTTCCCCCGTTCGCCTTTGCCAGCGCGGTGAAGTACGGTCGCTCGGACGACGCCGACACGGCCGACACGGCAGGGAGAGGCCTTCATCCAGCAGTGGATCGACGAAGGGGGAGTTGACAACAATCCAGTCTCCTCCCGCGCTTTCAAACGAGCCTGGCGCAGGCCTCCTTATCCGTCAGTGGAAATTCCACATTCCTCTGGGCGGGGACCAGCAGAGTGTATCCGCAGTGGAAATAAAAAAGCGCTTAACGTTGACACCTTACAGAGTTGTCCAGCCTTCAGCACCATCACCGTCGCGGGCACGGGCAATCCACACGCTGGATCAAGGCCCGTCGAATCTTCCCCGGCATCCCACGCGATTCCTCCGATGGAATAAATCCGCCCGGCACCAGCACACGGAACGATTTCGTCGCTTCGTCTCCGCGGACCGACGTCCCCTCTCTCGCGCGCACGCTCCGTCTCCTCGGGTCTGCCACTCTGTAATTATTGTTGACCGTCGGCCGTCATCCCTTGGTGGCCGTGGCGCGTCGTGCCCATAGCCCCATTGACGGTAGAGCCCTTCTTGAACGACCAGCCCTGTTCACGACTAATCACTTAACAACATGCCTCCATAGAGCCCGATGTGTAGTGTATAGTGTAGTGTATAGTAGTGTAGTGTATGGTAGTGTAGATTAGTGTAGTGTATAGTGTAGTGTATAGTAGGGTATGGTAGTGTAGTGTATAGTAGTGTAGTGTATGGTAGTGTAGAGTAGTGTAGTGTATAATGTAGTGTATAGTGTAGTGTATAGTAGTGTATAGTGTAGTGTATAGTAGTGTAGTGTATAGTAGTGTAGAGTAGTGTAGTGTGTAGTGTAGTGTATAGTAGTGTAGTGTATGGTAGTGTGTATAGTGTAGTGTATAGTAGTGCATAGTGTAGTGTATAGTAGTGTATAGTAGTGTAGTGTATAGTAGTGTAGTGTAAAGTAGTGTAGTGCCTCCATAGAACCCAATGAGTAGTGTATAGTGTAGTTTATAGTAGTGTAGTGTATAGTGTAGTGTAAAGTAGTGTAGTGCCTCCATAGAGCCCAATGTGTTCACTTACCGACCATTCCTCTGTTAACGACGGGTTGTTGTAGGTACAGTAAATATTAATGCATTGATTAACCGTGTTTCATTGAATGTGTTTAGGTATTACAATCCATTGTAAAGTACTTTTTTGGGGTGAAATAGGGGTAACTTTCCATGCTATCGGAACGAGAGTGTATTTCCTGTACTCGCTTAACGCCCAAATCGCTGAATGACCGGTTTCGTGTGAACAAATCACCGTCTTTAAGAGAGGTTCTGCTGTGCTTGCAACATCGAATGCCGTTTCGATAATCTGACCACATCCTCTAATCCAGTGCTTCTTACGTGGACCCCAGGAGGTACGCGAGGTGATGTATACAAACCTGTGAAATGATATCGCACGCGAGAGTCATCGGCGAATAACCCAACGTGCGAATTTGGTCATAGAAAAATAACTCCGATTTTTTATTTTTTTTACTTTGATCCACATGGTCACCGAGAACGATAGAAGAGACATAAACATCAGCGATCGACATCGGTGCGGGTTTCCAAGGGGGTGGCCAGCGAGCGTGAACACACATTGCGTCCGCTCAATTCCTCTCCTTGAATGCGCTCGCAGTTGCTCGGCCAAGTTAGGGGGGATAGAAACCTCGCAAAATTGACAATCGGCTAAAATGTCGCGACGGTGTTTATCGTTCGTGTATTTATCAGAGCCATGTTGGGTCAGGCAAGGGGAGGGGTTAGAGCAGTGACCAACACAAGGTTGAAAATAACCACCGGGTCTTGGCCACGTGCTTTTCTTCCTGTCTCCCGCGTGTAAATTCCAGCCATGCAATTCAGTCTTTCATGTGGTCCAGCCTCACCATTTAGTATTAGGGGCCGTCCATAAATGACGTCACGCACCTGGGGGGGGGGTCAGACATTTGTGACGATGTGTGACGAGGGGGTGGGGGGTTTGAGAAATGTGACGTCACATAAATGTGCAACTTTAAATAAATATAGACAACACGTTCTACTTAATTAAATAGACTTTTTAATATATGTTTTCTCCTCCAACATCAGAGTGCAGCGCCACATTAAGTACGCACTACAATGACAATAGTTTAAAGCGATTTGAAGCATGTTTTATTTGGGGGGGGTGGGGGCAGAGCTTTGTGACGTCATTTGAGGGGGGGGGTCTGATTTTTGTGACGCCGTGTGACAAAGGGAGGGGGGCGGGTCAAAAATCGTCCAAAATCGCGTGACGTCATTTATGGACGGGCCCTTATTCATTTCTGTCGACCTCGGGATGGGGATGATGGTAATAATGGCGATGGTGGTTATCGGCAGATTTGAAGGCTGACACTTTGTACAATTTATTTGACTGGTAATTAAAATAAAACCGAGGAGGGGAAACGTTTACGAGTGTTCTTTTTGTTTTGTTAACTGGCTTCATTAACGTTTTACTTCGTGCCAATCTTGATTTGAAGCTTTCGTGAGTTTTACTTTGTGTTATTTAAAAAAAAGAAACTTTTTTTTGTACGCGTGATATCACCCACCGCCATCCGTCGCCAGCGGTGAGGGGGTGTGAGGGTGAGTGAGGAGGTGAGTGGCTGGCTGAGGTGCCATCTGTTGAGGAAGTACTGAAGGCGATCCACAGACTGTAACAACTACAGGGGCATCTCACCTATCAGTGTGCCGGGAAAGGTCCTGGCAAGGATTATTCAACATCGCCTTGCTCAACACGCTGAGGGGAGGCTTGCGGAGCCCCAATGCGGTTTCAGGAAAGGGCGGTCCTGCACAGATGCCATATTTTCTGTCCGTCTGCTACAGCAGAGGTGTAGGGAATTCCAACAAGACCTACATCTCTGCTTTATTGACCTGGTCAAGGCCTATGATACCATCAGTAGGCCTGGGCTCTGGGTTGTTCTTCGTGCTTTCGGAGTCCCTGACCCTCTGCTCACGCTCATTAAGGACCTTCATGATGGTGAGCGGGCCCGGGTAAAACTACATTCCCTGTACACCTTGAGGTGCGACAGGGATGTCCTCTGGCTCCCACATTATTTAACATCTATTTTGACCACGTAGTTCGTGAAGCCTTCAATAGCTGTACCGGAGGAATTTCCATTTGGTACAGATATAATGGGAGGCTGATCGATGCCCGGGTGCGATCAAGGGATGGCTCCCTATTGCTCAACCACGTTATGTATGCCAATGATCTGGTAATCGCTGCTCACTCAGAGGAGGAGTTGGAGACGCTGCTGCTGAAACGAGCGTGCCACTAAGAGGTGGGGCCTTACCATCAGCCCCACCAAAACTAAGCACCTGCCTGGGTATTTTGTACCATCGGACACTCCACCCCCCACAACTCCCAATCTGTGATGGGGCAGTAGTGGAGAGAGTGGAGAGTTTCCCATACCTGGGCAGTGTGCTCATGACCAGCTCCGGTTTAACAGCAGAGGTCTCACTCCCAATCAGTCGAGCGGCAATATCTTTTCATCGGTTGCGTAATGCTGTGTGGAAGCTACCTGGTTTGTCGCTCTGCACGAAGCTTCAGGTCTTCTCGGCCACGGTCATTTCCTCCATTCTCTACGCTTTCGAAACGTGGACCCCCCTAATGGAGCATCTTCGCCGGTTAGAAACATTTAGGTTGGCCTGCTTACGATCAATCCTGGGTTTAACCAGGCTGGATTGTGTGAGAAGCTCACAAATCCTCGAAAGATCTGGACAAAGTCCCATCGGTGAGCTCCTCCAACAGGCAAGGCTGCGTTGGCTGGGCCATGTAGCCCGCATGCCCAGCCACCGCATGCCTAAACAGCTTTTGTTCGGCCGGATCGAGGTGGCTAAACGGGCGCGGCACGGGCTAGAAAAGAGATGGAGTAACGTGGTACAGGAGGATGTGGAGCTGAGTGGACTTGCCGATGACTGGTACCAGCGGTGTCAAGATCGGCCTCTGTGGAGGAGGCTTGTGAAGGATGCTACTGGGCAGTTGGAGGCAGTCGCCCTCCAACAACAACGGAGGGCGGAGGAGCGACGCTCACAACAACGAGCGGAGCGCCGGGTGGCTAAAGCACATCAAGTTGGCACAGTAGGGGGCACACAGGTGGTGCATCAGCCAGTCGTCTCAGTCATCTCAGTCAGTCGACCCGTGGCACCTGCTGGGTCTGCCCCGTGACCTGCTAGCGGGCGTTCGACACTTCACGTGGCCTCAAGGTGCACATGGCCTGGTACAAGCATCGTGGTGACGTCACCGCCACGTAGTGGCGAATGGCGGTTGTTGTGTGGAGGATAGAATCAGGTGTGTGGAGGGGTGAGGAGCGGTGTGGAGGTGTGCGCTGGAGTCAGGGGGATGTGAGGTGTGTGATGGAATCAGAAGATGTGTGGATGTGTGTGGAGGTGCATGGAGGTGTGTGGAGAAGCGGGAGATGTTTACGCCCATCCCTCACGAGAAGCGGGGAGATGTTCATGCGCTCCTCGTGAAGAGCGGGAGATGTTCACGCGCTCCTGCTGCTCCTCGTGCTCCACGTCCTCGCGTCCGCGGGGGTCCCTGGCAGCACCACCGCCACCACAACACCAAAAACAACAATGGTAAACAACAACAATGACAACAACACTCGGGGTGGGGGGGGGAAAGAATAAACAACGAAACTCATCACAACCACCACAATGACAACGTAGCCATTACCAGGTATGTGTCACAGGTGAGTGAGCATACAGGTGAGTGTGCAGATGAGCTTGCAGACGAGTGGATGTGTGTGAGCGTGCAGGTGAGTACGAGTGAGTGTAGGTGAGTGTACATGTGTGTGAGCGTGCAGGTGAGTACGAGTGTAGGTGAGTGTACATGTGAGTGAGCTACAGGTGAGTGTACGAGTGTACATGTGAGTGAGTGTCCATGTGAGTGAGCGTGCAGGTGAGTGTACATGTGAGTGTGGAAGCAAGTGTACAGATGAGCGTGCAAGTGAGAGTACAGATGAGCGTGCAGGTGAGTGTACAGGTGAGCGTGCGGACGAGCGTGCAGGCGAGTGTACAGGTGAATGTACAGGTGAATGCACAGGTGAGTGTACAGGTGAGTGTGCAGGTGAGCGTGCAGGTGAGCGTGCAAGTGAGAGTACAGGTGAGTGTACAGGTGAGTGTACAGGTGAGTGTGCAGGCGAGTGTGCAGGCGAGTGTACAGGCGAGTGTACAGGCGAGTGTACAGGCGAGTGTACAGGTGAGCGTGCGGGCGAGCACCTGGAACGCGTCGTTGGCGCACCTGCGGCACAGGTTGTGCTGGCAGGGCAGGATGACCACGGGCTTGGAGGACTTCTCCAGGCAGAGGGGGCAGAGCAGCTGGCGCGCTGCAGCAGCCACCCACAGGCGGACAGCCTCGTCGCTGCAGCTGTCACGTGCCCGGCGTTTATTGTGAAAATTCGGTCACAGTTCCTATGATCACCGTTTCATTGCTTTAATGGCTTTATTTTGGTGATTTTCGAAACGTTTTTTTGGTTTGGCCATGTTTGTTGTAATACAGAGTTAGACTGATGGCCTTAATCTAAGTTGTCTTGTGGTTGTTGTTGTTGTTTGACTTGCATCCCACTGGGATTTTGCACACAGCGTTGGTGTACGGTGTTTTTTGTGTAATATTTTGCTGTCTTTCTTGGATTTTCTGTTTGCACATAGTCACATATTCACTTGAAGATGTTTTATTTGTTCATGTTTTAGTTTTTTGTTTGTTGCGGTTGCACCCGATTCAAGAGCCGAATGGCTCACAGGGCTAGATACCTAATACATGAATTCTAGATTTGAAGCTTTCGTGACTGCAAGGATTCATACTCTTAGTTCTTTCGGTAAAGTCACGTAGGTAAAAAATGAAATTTATAAAAATAAACAATAAAAATCACGACGTTGCCTCCGAAACGTCGTGATTTTTATTGTTTTATTTTTATTAATTTCATTTTTACCTACGTGACTTTACCGAAAGAACTAAGAGTACTAATACATGAACTTGAACTCCCTCTCCTCCCCATGTCACGTGGAGACAGAGAGAGAGAGGGAGGGGCATTCACACCACGATGTCACGTGGCCCAGGGGAGTACAAACAAACCCCCCCCCCCCCTACACCAACTACCAACATGGACTGGTCTGTCCAAGTCGCGCTCCCTGGCCCCCCTACACCAACTGCCAACATGGACTGGTCTGTCCAAGTCGCGCTCCCTCGCCCCCCTACACCAACTGCCAACATGGACTGGTCTGTCCAAGTCGCGCTCCCTCGCCCCCCCTACAACAACTGCCAACATGGACTGGTCTGTCCAAGTCGTGCTCCCTCGCCCCCCTACACCAACTGCCAACATGGACTGGTCTGTCCAAGTCGCGCTCCCTCGCCCCCCCTACACCAACTGCCAACATGGACTGGTCTGTCCAAGTCGCGCTCCCTCGCCCCCCTGTCAGACACCAACATGGACTCGTCCATCGCTGGTCCACCTCCCCCACGGAAAACCATCGAAGTCAACGTACAGTTAGGACAGTCCACACAAGCGGCATCAACAACAACAACAGCAGCAGGTGACGTCCCCGCGGCGTTGGTGCCAGGCTAGGTGCACTCTTAGGCCACGGGGAGTGTCGAAGGCTCGCTGACAGGAGGTCACGGGACAGAACCCTGCAGGTGCCATGGGGTTGACCGACTCGAGATGGCTGCAGACGCCACCAGCTGTGCCAACTCGCCGCGTTTTAGCCGCCCGCCTCTCCGCTCGTTGTTGTGAGCGTCCCTCACGAGCCTCCTCCTCCACAGAGGCCGATCTTGACACCGCCGGTACCGCTCATCGGCAAGTCCACTCAGCTCCACATCCTCCAACCAGGTACCTTTGTAGGGACCCGCAGTGATGCCCCCATGCCGTGTTGGCAGTCCCACTGCTGGATGAAGGCTTCGGGTCGCCACGGTGGCTAGGAGATGTTAACTACCTCGCCCGGTGTACAGGAGTCGTGGGTTCGACCCCCGACGCCTGCTGCAACTTTGGCCGACGGTGATGATTTTTTTGTCATCAATAATTGGAACCCTATTACAGGTAAAGTGTTTGAACATTATATTCTTGGTTCTTTCGGTAAGTCACGTAGAAGGGAAATAATAAAGTAATAAAAATATTAAACTATTAAATTCTCACGACGTTTCGATTGCAACACGAGCAATCATCAAAGTGACGGTTAAAAAAACTGCCACTTTTTTTTATAAAATTTTCGTTAAAAAAGTGGCGGTTAAAAAAACCGCCACTTTTTTTCTAAAATATTCCTTAAAAAAGTTGGCGGTTAAAAAAAAACCGCCACTTTTTTCTAAAATATTCCTTAAAAAAAGTTTGGCGGTTAAAAAAACCGCCACTTTTTTCTAAAATTTTCCTTTAAAACAGTTGGCGGTTAAAAAAAAACCGCCACTTTTTTCTAAACTTTTCTTTAAAAAAAAAAATTGGCGGTTAAAAAAAACCGCCACTTTTTCTAAAATGTTCTTTAAAAAAAATTTATTTTCAAAAATCCCGCCACTTTTTTTCAAATGTTCCTGCCGCGGTTTTCACACCTGATGACGATTGCTTGCGTTGCAGTCGAAACGTCGTGAGAATTTAATAGTTTAATTTTGTATTATTTCCCTTCTACGTGACTTTACCGAAAGAATCAAGGATATGAATGTTGGGGTCGTCGAGTAAACAGCCAAAGAGGGTGACGAGAAGTGGCCCAGGTGGGTAGCGCCGCACGCTACGAACCGGCTCCACCCGAGTTCAATCCTGTCCAGGGCTAACACCGACTCCACTGGGGAGCGATGTCAGGGCTGGTTGC